CCCTCACGGTCAAAGAAATCATGTGTTTGTTTCACTAAGAGAGTCTCCTAAATAACTAAGGGTAACATCACAATTTTATGGTAACAATAGACATCTTTCTAAAACCTGTTATTCTAGCCCAATGCTTTCCAAAGAAATATATTATGAGTCACATGGGTTACTTTACATTTTCTAGAAACCACATTTAAAAAAAGTTAAAAGAAGCTAGCAAAGTTAATTTAAATGTATTTTACTTTAACCCAATGTATGTGTTATTTTACATTTTTTGTACTAAGTCTTAAAAATCTGGTGTGTATTTTACACTTACAGGACAACTTACAGAGGACTAGCCACTGCGAAGTCCTCAGTAACCACATGGGACTATCGACTATTGAATTGGAAAACACAGGTCTAACCCCTGCCTTAGTAAAATGACTAGAACGGACAGATGAAAACTAACCGTGGATGAGTCAGTGGTTCACCAGTCCGCGTGCCCCAGTGACCCCTTCAGGGATGCCTACCCAACCTAACAGCTAACCATGTCAGTTTTGGATACCCTAGTACTTCTTTCTCTGGGGGAGGCCATCACGTGAACCACCACCATCACAAAAATACACTCGTGATGGAGCAATCTCCTGAGGACTAATGGGAACCATTTTATATTGTGAGTTAGGACTATCAGTGAATTCTCTGAGACTGCCATCTTTTTCTACTTTTTGGAGTCAACGCTTCTTTTGTTTGTCTGGTGGTGGAATCCTTTCCTTCTAATAGAATTTTAAATAGAATCTAAGAAAGGACAAAGATAAAAAGGATTCACCTAAATTTTAAGAAACACTTATGTGATAGAACAACGAAGCAATTTAAAGATGGTGAAAATCTAACCCTGGATTACTAGTTACAGATGTTTTATATTACCTTCACCAACCATTATATGACCTTCCAATATTTATAGACACCTTGAAGCTCACGACAGCCTGAAATCTACCTTCCTGGTTGGCTTTAGCCTCAAAGGAATTCTAAGAGACCAGGAAGATTCACAAGACTGGGGAGGCCCCTACTGCCACTTCGGTTGGTATGTTCCGTCTTCCCCTTTGCTCCTGTGACCCAAGACACCACTCTGCTTTTACCAAGAAATGGCCCTTCCTAATCGGCCTCTGTAGAGTCTGCTCCCAAACTCTTGACTGTTATGTGGGTAGCACCTCACATTATAAGTAGGAGGATACATATCTCCTCTCTTCCCGGCTGTGTAGACACACAGTCTGGCACAAAGGGAGGAACACTTCCAATTCATTTCATTAGGACAGAGAGCAGTGAGGCTCAAAGGGTCTAAGGCAATGCAATTCAGGGTTGCAAAATCTAAACTTTGCTGGTTTCTTTCATATGCTAGAAATATTCTGGTAATGGAAAACAAATAAATGCCTTTACAGAGTTAAGTTTACATGAGTTGAAGTTAATTGCATTTACAAAATTAAGTAAAATGTATTTTGACTTCTGAAAAAGGACATTTTTCTTCCCTGCAGTTGAACTGAGTTTAAATTTCTGTGCAATGTTTACCCCTGAAACCATTCGGCCTGATGTGAATAATGTAAACTCTCTGTGAGGACAAAGGGTCCTTGTCTCTTACACCTTAAATTTAGAGGGAATACCCACAGCATATATTAAGTCCATGCGATATTGTCTGAGAAGTCAATTTTATGACAAGGCAGACATTTTCAGATGCACTGAGTACAGTCTCTTCCTGAGGCACATCTGCTTTCCCACTGAGGGAAGAGTTCTGTAGAACTTACTACCTGACATCTCAAGAAATCCTTTCTTATTTATTGGTTCTTTAAAATATTTTGAAGAGTTTGTTGAAAGCTCAAGAATTGGAGAGCCAAGTAGAAAAACGTTCAAGTTGATTTGATCCTTCGGTTGTTTGCCCCATGTCACTACACTCCCCGCTGCCTGATCTGGCCACTCCGAGTGAATCCCCAACCTCTATAACCTTCATTTAAGCACTGACGGCTTAAAAATTACAAAGTTACTGGCTCAGTCATTATTATAAAAATAGGTTTAAATTCTACCAAATAATAAATATTCTTAACAGAAAAAAACCAGGAGAACTGAGTCACTGGTAATAAAACACATAAAGTATGTAAATAATTCTAATGGACTTCAGCAAATTCTCACTTCTCCAGGGATGATGTCACCAGAGTAGAGAGAATCATACATTTATTAAATGAAAATCACCACCCGTATGTGAACATACTGATGTCAAGCAAAGGCATCTGTTTTCTGGAGCCGCACAGTCTTGCCAAGACAGACAGGACTCAAGCAGTAGCAAAGCGCCAGGCAAGAGCTGATGATCCCCGGATGAGAAAGTATGGCCGCAAATGAGGTAAGAAAGGAAACCCGAAGGAAAGAGGAAGGGGTGTGTGGGTGGGGCCCATTTCACGCGCCCGGGATCCCATTCTATTCCTAGCTGAGACTGAGGAACAGACAACCCTCGCAGGACCCTTCAGCGTGGGGCGACGTTCATCAAATCGTTCAGAGATGTTTGATGGCCTGAAAAATGACGACTTACACGATGTTTGTACTTTGGGGTGGAGGTCACGGAAGGGTAACTGTGTTCCCAAGTCATTGCAAATACAAGTTTAAACCAAAATCCATTTTGTAACAAGTTTTGGCAGCAATTTAGGACGGTCTGTGCCTAGTGCCCTGCTTCCAGAGTTACCCCCTAGGAACACAGCAGTTACTGCATACACTTTACAGTCTCATAAGGAAGTTTCTGAGGCAACAACACTCCGTTTCAGGGAGGAAGGTGAGGGACATTAAGCAGTGCAAAGAATCTAACAGAAATCTTTACTTTTTTAAACACAGCAAGTAAAGGTAAATATTAGCCCACACTCTTTCAAAACAAACTCATAGGAAATCTTTCAAAAGTCCACTTATCTTAAACAGGAGAAAAAATTTCCCAAGCTTTATGGTGTTTCTTCAAATTTCAAGAATGTGAGCATATCCATAAAGTCACCTCGTCTCGTTACTCAGAGTGTAGCCCAGGAGAGCAGCAACATCGCTGGGCGCTCATGATAGATTGAAAATATCAGGCACTGCACCAGACTTAATGACTCAGAATCTGCATTTTTAACAAGACCCCAGGTGATCAGTGTGCACACGAACATTTTAGAAGCATTGCTCTAGATTCTAAAGGAGAAAGGTATACCACCAACCCGCATTAGAGACTTCAGCTTTGAAACAACATAGAACCTAAAGAGTTAGATAAGATAGTTCAATGTCTTGACGTCAAATAATCTAGAGAATCTAAAATTGATAGAGCCATTCTATAATAGTGAATTTCTAACTGAGTATGTTCCTGTCAGGAAAAGGGTAATATATATCCTAAAAGATTTCTATATACTTCATAAATTAGCTCATAGGCATTTATGAATTTCCCCTCACACTATTTTTTTAAAACTCTTTTCCCTCCAAATTATGCTACTATATATAGAATTAAGTACATTGCACTGGTTGAAGATATATTTTCTGAAAATATTTAAAAATTTTATTATTGCAATTTTCTGTTTACAAAGAAAATTTGGATGGTAAGTGGTAACGTTATGGCCTTTAAAAAAACTGAAAGATAATTGACATAGACCATTGTTTTAGCTTTAGATGGACACATAATTTGAGAAACGTATATATTGCAAAATGATCACAATTAGTTTAGTTAACATCCATCACCACACAGTCACAAATATATTGTGTGTGTGACACTTTAAAGATCCATTCCCTTAGCATCTTTCAAATATATCATACAGTATTATTAACTATAGTCACCATTCTGTAAATTAAATCCTCAGCGATGCAGTACATCCTACAAACTGGAAGTCTGTACCTATTGACCACCTTCACTCAATTCAACTAACACCCATTTCCCTCATCCTCCCCCACCCCACCCCATCTCCAGCATCCACTAAACTTTTCTCTGTATCTATGAGTTCATTTTCTTAAGGTTCCACATGTAAGTGATATCATAAAGTATTAGTCTTTCTCTGATTTATTTCACTTGGCATAATGCTTGAAGGTCCATCCATACTGTCACAAATGGCAGGATTTCTTTTTTTATGACTGAATAATATATCATCAGATGATGGAATCTATATAATGGGTTATAGAATTATATATAATATTCCATTACATATTTATATGTACAATATTCCATAATATACATATATGTAGTATATACATATACACCATATTTTCTTTATCCATTTACACATTGATGGACATTTAGGTTGTTTTCATATCTTATTGTAAATAATGTTGCAAAGAACACTGGTGTGCAGATATATTTTCAAAACAGTGATATCCTCTCAAGATCAATACCCATAAATGGAATTGATGAGTAAGTTAACTCTATTTTTAATTTTTTCAGGAAACTCCATACTATTTTCCATATGGTACACTAATTTACATTCCCACCAATAGTGCCCAAGGGTTCCCCTTTCTCATGATCCTCGCCAACTACTGTCATATCTTTTTGACAATAGCCATTCTAACAGTTGTGAGATGATATCTCCTGATGGTTTTGATTTGCATTTCCCAGATGTTTAGTGATGTTGAGCATCTTTTCATACACCTGTTGGCAATTTCTTTGTTTTCTTTGGAAGAATGTGTATTCATATTGTTTGCCCATTTTTTTAAAGAAAAATTGAGGTATAATTTACATATAACATATTAGTTTTAGGTATACAACATAATCATGTGAGATTTGTAAATTTGCAAAATTATTGCCATGAATAAATCTAGTTAACATCCATCACCATAGTTAAATTTTTTTTTCTTGTTATGAAAACTTTTAAGATCTACTCTTAGCAACTTTCAAATATGCAATACAGTATTATTAACCATATTACCATGCTGTGCATTACATTCTGTGACTTATTTGTAAGTGGAAGTTTGTACCTTTTTGACCTCCCTCACCCACCCCTGCCACCTGCCTCGGCAACCACTAATCTGTTCCCTGTATCTAGTTGTTGTTATATTTTTTTTTTTTTAAAGACCACATATAAGTGAGATCATATGCTATTTGTATTCTCCGTCTTATTGCACTCAGCAAAATGCCCTCAACATCCATCCATGTTTTCACAAATAGCAAGATTTCCTCTTTTTTTAATGGCTGAATAATATCCCATTGCATATGTACCACTGTTTCATTATCCATTCATCTATTGATGAACAGGTGAATCACTAATTCCATTTCACTATGACCTTTTTTCGAGGCTTTATCTTGTTCTTTCATTTGGAACATATTCCTTTGTTTCTTCATTTTCCTTGACCTTGTTGGTTTCTAGGCGTTCGATAAAACAGCTCTCCCAGTCCTAAAGCAGCACCCTGGTGTGGGGGATATAACTTAACTGTTCAACCCTGCCCTAGCTCTTGGTTGTCTCTCAAACCTTTGGGATTGTCCTAGCAGCCTACTTTGTTGTCAGTGGCTCTCAGGAGTTGAGGGTGTGTCAAGACTTCTCAGTGTCCCAGAGAGGAAGATCCCAGTCAGCACACAGGCTGGTTGGAAGCCAGCCCCTCGGGTGCCAGTATATGCAAATATACCTCTTTCGGGGGAACGCTGGGCAATGGATGTTTCTGTGTGCTCCCTCTGCACTGGGCCCTGTGGTGACAGTCAGTTAAGAACTGTTCCTTTGCTACCGTCCCGCTGACCTCCAGGGCCGGTTATCAAGGGATGTGTCCTGTGGCTAGTAGCCACAAAAGCTGGGGTGTCAGCCGTGCACACAAGGTCCTTTCCCAGAGACACGGACAACCTGGGGCAGGGTAGGAGTTCGAAGATGGTCCCTGTCAGTCTCTCAGTCTCTGGAGAGGATCTGTCTTGGGCTCCCCCACGAGTGTTTCATTAGAAGCCAGTTCCTTAGGCCACAGCTCTGCAGATAAGCTAAAAGGCCTGTCGCAGAAAGACTGGGATGACTTCAGTCGGCCACCTCTGTGCTACGTCCTGGACTGGGCAGTGGTTGACAACAGTTTCTCCATTTGTTACAGCCCTGTGTGACCTGCCGATATAAGGCCCGCGGGCCACCAGTCAGGTGCACGAGCTCCTAGCAATGTGGAGTCTGGCAGAGGGATGGCGGAAGATAGTGTGGGCTCTCCAAGGTCTCTGGAGAGGACCAGAGCCAGCCGTGTGTTTCGATAGAAGCCTGTCCCTCAGGCCTCATGGACACAGGTATGCTAATAGGCCTCCTTTCCAGAAAGACTGGGGCCGCATTTCAGACTGCTGCCTCTGTGCTGTGTCCTGGGGCGTGGCCAGTTAACAGCTCCTTCTCTGTTACGGTCCCAGTGCCAGGCGATCAAGGGGTGTTCCTGGGTGACAGCTATAAACACCAGAGCCCCGGATGTGTGCACAAGCTCCCTTCTGAAAGATACCAGCAGCTGAGAGCCAGGCAGAGGGATGGCAGGAAGATGGGGCCCTCCAGCCTCCATGAGCTTTGAAGAGTATTTCAGCTGGGTCCTAGGTGTGTGTGACATTAGATATCTGCCCTTCAGCCCAAAGCTTTTAACACAAGCAAATAGGTCTCTTTCACAGAAGGACCAGGCATTTCAGTCAGCTGCCTCTCCACTGTACCTGGGGGTTAGCCAAAGTAAATCCACACGGACACTTTAAGAACTGTTTCTCGGTTCGCTATAGCCTTGTAGACATAAGCCCCATTGGCTTTCAAGCTAGATGTTTTGTGGACCCATCTCTCAGGTGCACGTCTTAAAAGGTGGGGTGCCAGATGTGGGGTTCAAACATTTTCCTTTCCAGGAAGAAGCTCAGAGTTGTGAGTTCCCGCCTGACTGTGGGTTACCACATTTGGGGAGGATTTTATGGTAAGATACTATATCAGTCTCTTCTACCCATTTTGATGTGCATTTTTGTTTTGTTTTGTTTTGTTTTTAAAGTAGGCTCCATGCCCCACGTGGGGCTTCAATTCACACCCCAAGATCAAGAGTCAGATGCTCCACCAACTGAGCCAGCCAGGCGCCCCTGGATGTGGGTTTTTTATCCACCCAATGTGTAGGAGGCCATCAAGTTAGTTTTCAGATTTCTTTCAGAGGGAACTGTTCTGGATGCAGCTGTAGATTCCGTGTGTATGAGAGGAGGTGAGTTCAGGATCCTCTTATGTTGCCATGTTAAACGAGAGGCTCAGATTACAAGACCCACTAACTGGTAGCTAGAGTTTGAGTAATACTTGTTAAGGACCCAGTAAGTATTTTCATGCAGAGAATTTAAACAAAAAAGGAAAGTAAGGAGCAGAAAGCTATTTTGTTTTCCTTTCTTGAGAATTTATTTCTACACAAAACTTTTGGACTTGTAAAATTATTCCACTGACAATATTCCCTACCCACGCTATTGTGTATATGTGACTTAAAAAATGTACTACTGATTGAGAAATCCAAAATGCATATCATGTGTTCTACAAATATAAGATTGAATATTCAAACAAAGGCATTGTGTTTTAAAAAAGATAACCAATAACAGAAAAAGTTTGAGTTCTTTATGTGTAACGAATGTACTTTTTTTACATAGCCTAAACCAGAGGATTAATATAAAGGAAAATATATCATAAAACCATGAATACCAAGAGTCCTAAAATTATTAGTTTTTTTTAATTTTATTTATTTAATTTGTCAGAGAGAGTGAGAGAACACAAGCAGGGTGAGTGGCAGGCAGAGGGAGAAGGAAAAGCAGGCTCCCTGCCAAGCAGAGAGCCCGATGCGGGACTCGATCCCAGGACCCTGGGATCATGACTTGAGCCGAAGGCAGATGCTTTACCAACTGAGCCACCCAGGCGTCCCTAAAATTATTAGGTTTGATGTTAAAGCTATTTCCAAAGCTACGGGGAAAGAAAATGACTAAAAATCACTAAAAAATCAGAAGTTTCAAAGCACCTAATCTTGGTCTATGCTCTAGGATTTGTTCTAAGTCTTTTACTAAATTGAAAGACATTTCATTAAAATTTGTTTGATGTTTAAAAACCCTATTTTCTATAGATACTTGTAAAATTTTTTTCTATTATAAGCCTCCTCTTTTTTCAGTTTTATAGAAAAAACAAAGATAAAAAAACAAAAATAATGAGGTGCCTTGTAAATCTTAACCCTCAGTAATGTTTAGTTTAATCCTATCAGTTTTACTGCAACCTAGTAAATTAAGAGAACATAAGAGGGAAATCAAATAGTGCTGTTTTTCCTTCCCCAGTTCAACAAGTATAAGTAACAACTCTACATAAAAACAAATCAAATTGGGAATGTGAATGAGAACCTATGTAGCTTCTTACAATTACCTAAGTTACACAGACAAATGGAAACTTTGATCATACAAATTCCAAGGAATACAACTGTCCAAGCCTCCACAGTGAGCCGTTCTAAATTTCATTTTAGCCATCAGTGCAATGTAGGACACAGGGTAAAGCTGGGTGGGGAAGGCCCCATAATGGTCCGTGATCTGCTACAGAACCTAACTCTCAAATCCCACAGAAACGTTTCTTGCAGTCCTAATAGCCACGGCCACTCTGCACAGAGTCCTCTGACTGCAGGGGCAGTAAGAGCAGCCTGAGGTCGTTGCAGCAAACACATGCAGCCAGGATGGCGCCCCCATGCAAGCGCAGTTTCGAAAAAAAGACGGTATGCGGGACAAACAGAAAAGCTGCACAAAATGACGTTAAGACTGAGAAGGACCATGAGTTAGTTAGAAGGAACATGCTTTTATTTACCCTTTCTTCTCCCTTTGAAAACATCTATACAGGCAGGTGCAAAGTACCACAAGGCCAACAACTGCAAGAGACCAGGAAACAAAGGACATAAAACTCTGAGAGCTGCGTGTCAAGATTCAAAATTTAGCAGTAGAAATAAGTAAGTGTTGGTTGCATTCAGTAGTTAGAAAATGTTATTTTATTTAAGCACATATCTATTCATCTGGACTCTTTTACTATCTAAAGCCCATTCCCTGGAGTCACTTGAATAGTCCACAGGAAGCCAGAGAAGAATCCTTGCTTAGTTTAGAAAATTACCCAAAGCATCTTTGGAATGCAAACTCATGACCAATCATCCTGAAAATGCATTGTAGTATTTAGGGTTTTTTAATAAGTGGACATGTACAGTATAAAAGAATATACATTCACCAGAAAAATGTAGTGTATCATATACAAGGTCAGGTTATTCTAGACTGGTGGACTTCATTTCAAGCTATTGAAACTATAGAAACTGAAAAGTCATTTAAAAAGTAATGCACTTCGAGGGGCACCCAGGTGGCTCAGTCAGTTAAGCATCTGCCTTTGGCTCAGGTCATGATCCCGGGGTCCTGGGATCGAGTCCTGCATTGGGCTCCCTGCTCAGTGGGGAGCCTGCTTCATCCTCTGCCTGCCCTGCCTGCCCCTTCCCCTGTTTGTGTGCACGCACTCTCTCTCTGACAAATAAATAAATAAATAAAATCTTAAAAAAAAAATAATGTACTTCTTTGCAGTCATATTTTGATTAAGTTGCATCAACGTTCAGGCTACTTACGAATAGTAAGGACAATCACAGCAATGATTCCTGCATCTGAGAAAAAATGAAAACAGTTTGAAGACTGAGCACACAAGGGTCCCAGAGGGTAGTTGCATTTAACTCTGATCAGATCATCTATACGCTACTGCAAAGAAGTTGCTCCTCGGTCTAGTTTTAGCGTGAGCGCTAGTGTGTGCAGCTCATTCTGATCATAGAACCCTTCTAATCAGAGTCCAGGTTTAGGATCCATCTTGTGAAACTCTTCACCGGAACCTGACTTTTCATTATTTTGTGCTGTTGGTACCACACCAGGTTATTTAGTAAAGCCAGGACTATCAGAATTCCCTAGATTAAAGGAAATTACCTACAAATCTCCATACACAGTACCACTTAACGTTTATCATGTTATCTGGACTACTAAAATGTAAACTAGTAAATGTCAAATTTTGTGGAACTTTGTTCCTTCGTTAACTACAAATGATTGGAACACGATAGATATGTCCATGTAGAACTCCAAGGCCTCATAATGCAGAGTAATTAGTAGCCAAAATAATACCTAATTCCTCAAAGTCTTCAAGTATTAGTGGGTCTTTGGGCTCGGGATAGCCTAGGGAAAAAAATGGAAATAAGTTAAAAAAGAAAGACAGACTAAAGCTTAAAGATCCATAAATTCACTGGTTTTATTTTTTGCCTTTGTATAAACCTACTTATAACTTCATTTTCCTTAATGTTTGTCCATAAAAGTGGTATCATAGATTATAAATTTATATTTGATGTCATGAACAATCTTCTTCCTGTCCATATTTCCTGTGACAATATTCTGTGGTATAGGAAGCAAATTTATCACTACTATATCCTCAAAATTAGCCTGAATTCAACATGATTCTACACATTGTAGAATTTAGGGTTTGTTACTAAGGAAATTAGTAAAATGACTAAAATCAGAAATAGAGGAGGACTTCAAAACAATTTAGAAGTTGATCTGGAACAGAAAGACTCTTCAACGTAACAAAAGCCACTTAAGAAAAACGCATGGCCAGCATCATATTTAATGGCGAAAGACTAAAGTTTTTCCCTTAAGATCAGGAACAGGACAGGGTGCCTGTGTTTGCCATTTCTATTCAACATAATATTGCAAGTTCATATCAGAACAATTAGTTAAAAAAGAAATAAAAAGCATTTAAATTGGGAAGAAATAAAATGATCTCTGTTCATAGGTGACATGATCTTTACATAGGAAACTAAAGATTACACACACATGCACACACACACAGCACAGGCCTGGTAGAACTAATAAATGAATTCAGTAAAGTTGCAGGATACAAAATCGACATGTGAAAATCAATTGCATTTCTACGCACTAACATTAAGCAACCTAAAAAGGAAATTAAGAAAACAATTCCATTTATAGTTGAATCAAAAAGAGTAAAAGACTTTGGAATAAACATGACAAAGGAGGTAAAAGATTTGTACACTGAAAACTATAAAATATTGCAGAAAGAAATTTATAAAGACAGAAATAAAGGGAAAGCAATCCCTGTATTTGTGGATTGGAGGACCTACTAATGTTAAGATGTAAATATGATACAAAGCAATCTACAGATGAAGTGCAACCCCTATCAAAATCCTAATGATGCTCTTTGCAGAAAAAGAAAAATCCATCTGAAAATTCATACAGAATCTCAAGGGACTAGGCAATCTTGAAAAGAGAAAGCAAAGTTCAAAGGACTCATACTTCCTGATTTCAAAACGTACTATAAAGCTACAATAACCAAAACAGAATGGTGCTGGCATAAAGACAGACCTACAGACCAATGGAATAGAAGCCACAAAATAAACCTTTGGGTATATAGTTAAGTAATTCTCCACAAGGGTGCTGACAACATTCAATAGGGAAAGAGCAATCTTTTTCACAAATGGTTTTGAAAACTGGATAACCACATATACAAAAGGATGAATTTTAACCCTTGCCATTCACCAAATACAAAAATTAATTCAAAATGGATCAAAGACCCTAAAGATCTAAAACTATAAAACCCTTAGAAGAAAATAAGACTACATGTTTCATGATGTTGGATCTGGCAATGATTTATTGAATGTGACACCAAAAGCATAGGCAACAAAAGAAAAAACATAACTTAGACTACATCAAACCTCAAGACTTTTGTACATCAAAGAACACTAACAATAGAGTGAAAAAGCAACCAACAGAATGGGAGAAAGTATCTGAAACTCATATAATAAGGGATTAATATCCAAAATATAAAATGAACTCCTAAAACTCAAAACAAAAACAAAAGAACCACAACCCATCAAAAATGGACAAAGGACTTGAAAAGACATTTCTCCAAAAAAGATATACAGGTGGTCAATAAGCACAGGAAAAGTTCCGCAACACATTACTAATTGTTAGGGAAATGCAAATAAAAACCACAATGAGATTCTACCTCATATGTTACCTAACATACATTATGATGGTTATTATCAAAAAGCAGAAAATAATATGCATTGGCAGAGGTGAGGAAATTGGAACTCTTGTGCATTGCTGGTGGGAATGTAAAATGTACATCCACTGTGGAAGACAGTATGGTTGTTCCTCAAAAATGTAAACACAGAATTATTATATAACCAGCAATTCTACTCCTAGGTATACAGCACCCCAAAACTGTTAACCAGGGACTCAACATTGAAAATTTTCAATTTTCAAGTTTACCACTGAGAACAGGATCCAAACACTTGAAAGCCAATATTCAGAGAAATATTACTCAGAGTAGCCAAAATGTGGAAACAACCCAAATGTCTATCAATAGATGAATGAATAAACAAAATATAAAAAGCAATGTAATATTATTCAGCCATAAAAAGGAATAAAGTTCTGATACATGCTACAAGGTGGATGAACCTTGAAAACATTATGCTAAGTGAAATGAGGCAGAAATAATTCCATTTCTATGAAGTACCTAGACTAGTCAAATGCATAAAGACAGAAAACAGAATGTTTACCAGGGCTGGGTGGAAGGGGGGAATTGAGAGTTATTGTTTAATGAGTACAATGTTTCAATTTGAGACTATGAAAAAGTTGATAGTAGTGATGGTTACAAACAATGTGGATACAATAATGCCACTGAAGTGTACACTTAAAATGGTTAAAATAGTAATAAAATATAATAGTTTATCTAGAAAAATTAACAGAACAGTCTGAACGTTTCTGAAAAGGAAATATTCTGCCAGATATTAAAACAGATCATAGTATTAGAGTGGAAAAAAATGATTCAGTACTGTCATGAGAATGGTTAGAGTTCAAGGAAACAAAGATGACTGGAACAACTATTAATTTAATGACAAAACAACTGGCACTTGAAAACAGTTGGAGAAAGAACAACTTATTCAACAAATGTTGCACTTTGCCACCAGGTAGGTGTGGGTTAAGGGGAGAGAAACTCGATCTCACTCCATACACCATAATGATTTTCAGATGCACTGATGATTTAAATACAAAGACTGCAATCAGAACTCAGGATTAAAATGTTTATAAAGTTGTAGCATGAGGAAGATCTAAAGCTTTTATAAGAAAGACACAACACACATAGCCATTAGGGAAAAGGTGGTTAAATCTATTAATCCATCTACATATTGATGTAAAATTTCTACACATGTAAAAGACCACTAACAGAATAGTGAAATAAATAAATACAGTACACATTTCAAAGTCTTCATTGAAAAGAATGGCAGTAAATCTAAATAGAATCCCAATATAAAACATTAAATGGAAAAAGTCCAAGTTTCAAAAAAATATATACAATATGATGTCAATTTTGTTTAAGATAAAAGAAAAAATACCCAACTATATTTATAACTACACATCTAAGGATGCTGATGTACAGAAATAAAGAAATACCCTAAACTATTAACAGTGATTAATTCAGGTAGTAGACTAGAGAAAAAGGATAATTTTTTACTCATTGACTTTCACAATGTTTGAAAATTTACAAAAATATATTCATATACCTCTCATGCAACAAAAAGTTATAAAAAGCAATCTAGGGGCACCTGGATGGCTCAGTCAGTTAAGTGTCTGCCTTTGGCTGAGGTCATGATCCCGGGGTCCTGGGATGGAGTCAGGCTCCCTGCTAAGCTCCCTGCTTCTCCCTCTCCCTCTGCCCCACCCCCTCCTTGTGCACTCTCTCCCCCCCTCAAATAAATAGATAAAATCTTAAAAAGAGCAATCTATAATTAATAGCATACAATAAAAATCTTAAAAGAAAACAGACTAGTGAAAATAAGGCCAAAACACCCCTGAAAAAATGTTCACTTCATATTAAAAGGGCTTTAACTTATAATGAGCTCTCACAAATCAACAAGAAAAATATTTTAGAAATCTAATTTTAAAAAATGAGCAAAGGGTATGGATAAATCAATGTAGACCAAAAAAAAAGTTCAGCTTCATTGATAATTAAAGAAATGCAAATTAGAATAAGACATAACTTTGTACTCATCACCTTATAAAGTTGTTAACAATATAAGCAAGAGAAAGAATTACTGTGCCTGGATACTTTGAAACTGGAGGTTTGGTTGGATGAGTAGGCTTGAAACCTAGAAAAAATAAATTTGATTCAATTCACCAGCCTTATCAATATAAAATTATGGATTTAATGTTGATTTTTTATTTTTTAAAAAGATTCATTATTTCTTAAAATGAAAAATACACATGCTTTCGAAACTTTGCAATTCTACTTCTGGGAATTTAACCTAATATGTATTTGTACAAGCATATAAGCATGTATATATAAGAACGTTCACTACAACTTTGTATTTTATATGGAAATCCTAGAAGTTAACTGATAGTAAATCATAAAAATAACGTGTTCAGAGTAAACACACATATCTTAAGAAAAAATACCATCCAAGTAGTATCATACTACATAAAAAGTTATATCTTTTTCCTTTCTGCCTACTATTTCTTGGGCCCTTTAAAACATATTTGCACATTTAGATCTGCCTTAACACCATTATATGTTGCTGATCCTTTTGATATAGTCTTTCTCTAACCGATGATAAAAAATGATTGACAATCCCATGGAGAGTTTTGATTTTTATTTTTTAAAAAAGACCCCTGTAGTTTCTCCTCTTCATAAGCTTCTTCTCACAATTCTTTCAAAAACTAAACTCTAAGGCCGCCTGGGTGGCTCAGTCAGTTAAGTGTCTGCCTTTGGCTAAGGACATGATCTCAGGGTCCTGGGATCTTGCCCACATCAGGCTCCTTGCTCAGCGGGGAGCCTGCTTCTCCCTTTCTCTCTGCCCTTGCCCCGCTTGTGATTTCTCTCTCTCTCTCTCATAAATAAAATCTTAAAAAAAAACCTAAACTCTATCAGTGTTTTATAAATCCTTTATGAAATGTTCATGGTTCAACTCCTTCAAAAGAACATATCAACAAACATAGTACACCACAGTGCATATAGCCACCAGGACCATGTGAGTAAACATGGATGGGTCAAGGAATATAAATTTCATATGCAATCTTAATATATCAATCCACCAAAAAACCATTTCTTTCCTTCCAAACCTCACAGCACTCAACTAAAGTACACAAGGAGGCTATCAGATACTGGGTTTACAGGAATTATAAAAAGAAGTATTCTCATTACCATGTTAATATGCATAATTTCCCCAAATCCTTTAAAATAATATGGCCATAAGAAATATACAAACAAATTAAAAGCCAGTATTCATGATCTGTTTGAGTTCAACACCTTCGTGAAACAGTGAAGTCCACAGAAATAAGGTTACTTGAGTAAGCAGAGCCCAACTAGGACCCTGATGAGGTCAGCCCAGGCTAATGCTCCTCCCACTACTCCTGTTGTCTCTTCCTTTCTGAGGCAAAGAGAGACCAGAGATAGCAGCACTGAAATCAGGAAGATATTTCCTTCCATTATAGCAAAATCAGCTTTCAAGTCTTAAGTAGAGTAGCTGACACAGTCCCTGCAAGAAATCCTCCATTTCATTTCAATGAATAAGGATTTTTCCTGTCTTTTGGTTGCTATGAAATTTAGGTACAATTGCCAAATAAAAATAAATGCCCGATAAAAAGAAAAAGAATAATTATATGAAGCGGGAAGGGGTGGGGGTGAGGGAAGACATTCAGGTCTTTTACTGGAGATAGCAGAAATTTCCCAGTTTAAATTGTGCTACATAAAAACAAAAACAAAAAACACTAAACTGGTTACAGTCCAGCAACTGAGACACAGTCCTAGACCAGGAAGATACCCTAAAGGAGCCAACAGATCACCTTTAAAAGGAATAAACAGCAAAGTCAATGACATGTTAAAAAATAGAAGCCACAGACCTTCCTGTTTACTAATATTAATCTGAGTGATGCAATAAGTCATATGAGCTACCTTTAGGAGCTTTCCTATATGCCAGGCACTGTGCTAAGTGCTAAATGCATCCCTTTTACACTTTGTGTAACTTGCCCAATTTACATACGTGTTTATATCTGCAGACTATGCCAAAAATTTTTAGAATAACTATACATAACAACTAAAATGGCTATAAACATGTCCTTCATTCTTTCATTACTAAAAATGATGAATGAGTATAAAACAACTGTAAAGGATTTTTGTTAAATATAAGCAGGAAAGTACTAATCTGAATGACTCAAAATTGGAGGTTTTACATTGGGAGAAACCGATCCTGAAAAACCAAATAATGTAGGATCAACTACTTGGGAATTACTGCTTTCATTTATATGAATTATGCCTTTCATTCTTGACTTATTCATGTAAAAATTCTCATGCTTCAATCTATTCTAAAAGTGGTCGCTATGCATTCTTACAAATACTACACAAGAGAAATTTATATACCTGTGTGAGATACATGCCCTGTTAAGACCCTATGAAAACATACAAAATCACAACACAGATATTATCTCATGCCTCCATCATGGAAATAAATATAAGACAGAGTTAAGTAGTAAAATTTCCTCTTTTCAATGATTCAGTATCACTGATATTGAATGATATGGAAGAAGAAATAAAAGCTAACACAAAAAGATGGAAAAAGACATTTGTACCTCTGACACATTTTGGCATCACAGGCTCCCAGGTACTTCTCCCACCACAGAACACTGGGTTGCTGCCATTAAGATAGAAGCCTGGGAGGCATTCAAATAGAACCACTGCTTGGTAGGAATATTTGTCTCTGATTCCTGATACCAGTCTTCCATGTTCAACTACTGGATAATCACATTTGACCACTGAAAAGTGGAGAAAGTCCATAATTAATGGAAAGCTGATCTAACATAGGAGCAGAAAAAAATATACAAGCTAATAATTCCCAGCAGGAAGAAACATACAAGGAATGAAAGGCAAGGTATTAAATAAAAGAAAGAAAAAAAAAACACACCCAAGAAACCTGCATACGTATGTACATTTTAACTCCAGGGAAACAGATTTAGAGAAATCTAATAACTTTTTTCCATCTAGAAAAGACTAGCATTAGAGTTTATTGGCTTTCCTACATTTTTTCCCGTTACTGACAAGGTTTGAGAAAGGCCTGACTGCCACATACAAATCTGGGGTAAGTTCAAGAGCAACTTTTGATCCTCCTTTGCTCTAGGGACTTTCTGAAGGTCATGTTGACACTGATTGCATACCCTGCTTTTCTAGAAAGGTGGGAAACACCCTTCTGAGCAGGCAATACTTGAGCTCACATTTACAAGTTGAAAAGCAGGTAGCCATGCAAAGATAGGCAAAAAGGAAGTGCTCGGGTAGCAACAACATACACAAACCGGGAAGTTCAAGAAATGGGAAGGCCTGCAACCCAGGGCTCAAACAACACATTTTACCCTGTAAACCAGTACATGAGCACACAGGCCTAAAATACAAGTGAGCCTCATACCAATGGGCTCTGCTATTTCCCATTCCACTCTACCTCTGAAGAGGTAAACTACTAGTCATGACCTGATAGGACTGATTTCAGAATCGATTAATGGGCTTAGGAGAATTTGGAAACAAAGACAAAAACCACAGGGCTGGGCAGTGAGTACAACAGAACATCTTAGGACATTAAATCTGAGCAAGAGAGAAGGGCCAGAGAGTGGACAGCCTTTTCAACCAGAGGACTGTTCTTCCCCTGTTCCCAGGGATTCTGACTTTCCCGCAGCCTGAGGAACTTCCGGGAGCAATTCCTACAGTGCAGGTCGGCTTGTGATTCCCTTGGCTTGGGTTTATCTCCAAATGTTTCATTTCCTCATCTTCAGTTTTGAAAGATTTCTCCTTGATGGAGAATTCTAGATTAAGTTTATCCAGCACACTAGCAGATACTGTCTTCCAGTCTCCACCGTTCCTCAGGACAAGTCAGCTGTCACTCACACTGGGGTCGGGGACAGTGCGACAGGCGTTTATGCTCCCCTCTTCCCGACTGCTTTTCTTCGTACACCTTTTGTTTTCAGTAGTTTTACCCTGATGCGTTTAGTGTAGTGGAGGTTCCTGACTTTCTTGGTTCTGTGACGTTATCGTTTTGGGACAAATGTGGTTAATATTTGGCCAATATTTATTCAAATCGTTGTCCATCCTGTTCTTTCTCCTCTTTCTGAAGCTCCCACAGCACGTATGCTTGACTTCTTGCTACTCTTCCACAGGTCTGTAAGTCTCTCTCTCTCTTTTTAATTATTTCTTTTCAAATCACATTCTCCTGACTTCAGGTTCCCTGAGTTTCGCACTGTTGTGCTAAGCTGCTGTTACCGGCGATGGCTTCTTCATGTTGGCTAGACACAACTTACCTACCGTAAACCTCACCCTTTCCAGTACCCAGCTGTATTAGGTCTGACAAATGCAAAAAATCATGAAATTACCGCAATAAAGACACAGACAAGTTCCATTACCCCCCAACATGTCCTCATGCCACTCTGGAATCAACCCTACCCACCCCCACAACCACCTTCACCAACCAGCCCAACACTGATCGCTTTTCTATCTCTATACAGCTGCTTTTCCAGAATGTCATAATGGGATCACTGCCTCTGAGTATGGCTTATTTCACTTAGCATAATGCCTTTGAGATTCCTTCCTGTTGCTGCATGGATTAGAGCTCACTCCTTTTTATTGCTGAGTAGTATTCCTATACTGTATGGATGTACCCCTGTTTTTTTTAATCCATTTCACCAGTTGAAGGACAAGTCGGTTGTTCCCAGTCTGGGGTGATTATAACTAAGGCAGCTGAATATTCTCACACAGGTTTCTATGCAAGCATGTTTTCATTTTACTTGGATTGATGAGTTGTATGGTAAATATATGTTTAACTTTATAATAAATGTAAAAATAGGTTCCAAAATGGTCATACCACTTTTATTCTTACCAACAATATATGAAAGTTCCAATTGCTTTATATTGTTGCTGGTACTTGGTATTAGTCATTTGTTTTTAATTTCAGTCATTCTAATAGGTGTTTAGTGGTATCTCTTTGTGGTTTTAAATCGCATTTCTGTAATTACTAATTATATTGAGAAACTTTTCAGGTACTTTTTTGCCATCCATATATCATGTTTATTGAAATAGGTCTACTCAAATATTTTGTTCATTTTTTAAAAATTGTTAAGCTTTGAGAATTTTTTATGTATCTTCTTAATTATTAAGCTTTGAGAATCCTTTATGTATCATAGATAAAAGTCCATTATTAGATATGTGCTTTGCAAATATTTTCTCCCAGTCTGTTGCTCATTTTTTCCCATTCTTTTAACAGTTCTTTTGCAGACCAGAAGTTTTGAGTTTGGAACATCCAACTTTTTTTTTCTTTAAAAGATCATGCTTTATGGGTGGTATTCAAGAAATCTTTGGCTAGGTCACAAATATTTTGTTTGTTTTCTTGCAAAAGTCTTACAGTTTTAGGTTTTACATGTAAATCTGTGGTTCATTTTCTCCCCTAAATTTTATTAATTTTTTAAATTTTTTGAATTTTGAGTATAGTTGATACATGTTACCTTAGTTTCAGGTGTAAAACACAGTGATTCACCATCTCTATATGTTATGCTATTACTCACCACAAGTGTAGCTACCACTTGTCACTATACAATATCATTGACTACATTTCCTATACTGTACATTTTATTTCCATGACTTATTCATTCTATAATGGTAAGTCTGTATCTGTCACTCCCCTTCACCGATTTTGTTCATCGCCCACCTCTCTTTCCTCTGGCAACCATCAGTTTGCTTTATTTATAGGTCTGATTCTACTTTCGTTTGTTTTTTCATTTGTTTTGTTTTTTAGATTCCACATATGAGTGGAATCATATGGAATTTGTCTGTCTCAGTCTGACTTATTTCACTTGGCATAATACCCTCTAGGTCTATTCGTATTTTTGTAAATGGCAAAATCTCATCCCTTTTTATGGCTATGTAATATTCCAGTGTGTGTGTGTGTGTGTGTGTGTACATACAACACATCTTCTTTAGACATTCATCTATTGATGGCCACTTAGGTTGCTTCTGTATCTCAACTATTGTAAATAATGCTGCAATAAAGGAGTGCTTATATCTTTTCAAATTAGTGTTTTTGTTTTCTTTGGGTATGCCCAGTAGTGGAATTATTGGATCTCTATGATCCATTTTGAATAAACGTTGGCTTCTGGTGCTAACTTCAGTCAAGTTTCCTTTTTGTTTTTTTGGGGGGGGGCACATAGATGTCTAATTATTGTGCTCTACCATTTGTTGAAAAGATTATTGTTTTTCCACTGAATTGTTTGTATACCTGTATACCTAAAGGACATCAACTGGATATATTGGCAAGCATCTAATTCTGGATTTAGTATTCTATTCCATTGCTCTATATGGCTATTCTTTCACCTATACCACATTGTCTTGATTATATGCCTTAAGTATGCTTTATATAGTCTTAACATCAGGTAGAGTGAATCCACCAATTCTTTTCAAAATTATTTTCACTATTCTAGTTATTTTGTTTTCCCATATAAAGTTTAGAATCAGTTTAATTTATACAAAAAGTTCTGCTGGGATTTTTATTGGGATTGTGCTGAATTTAGATAAATTACAGAGAATTGACTATTATATTGAATCTTCCAAACCATAACTAACGTCTATCCTTTCATTTATTAAGGTTTTCTTTAATTTCCTCTATTAGCGTTTAGTAGGTTTTAGCCTTAAAATCTTTCATATATATTGTTAGATTTATACTCAAGTATTTCATGTTTTGGAGCTACTGTAAATAATGTTAAAAATTTCAATTTCTAATGGTTTATTGCTAGTATACAGACTTATAACTGTCTTCTGTATGTTGATCTTATATTCTGCAACCTTTTTAGAACTTCTGTCTTTGTTCTACACAGACCATCGGGTCCTAAGTGAACAGTGACTTTATTTCTTACTTTCCAATATGTATGCCTAATTCTTTCTCTTTCCTTGTTGTAGCAGCTGGACATCCTGTACAATGCTGGATAGAGTGGTGAGAGTAGATTTCCTTCTCTTACTCCTACCATGGGGGAAATCAGTCTTTTACCATTCAATATAATGTTAGCTCTGAGATTTTTGTTGATGCCTTTTATCAGATGAGATAGTTACTACTTTTCTATTCCTAGTTTGTTGAGAAATTTTATCCTGAAAAAGATGAATTGTCAAGTGCTTTTTTTTTAACATTTATTAAGAGGATCATTTTTTTTCTTATTTATAGTCTCTTGGTATAGTAAATTACACTGATTAATTTTTAAATCTGAACCAATCTTGCATTTATGGGATAAATCTTACTTTGCTATGATGTATTATTATGGTTATATGTGGCAGGATTTGCTTTGTTGATATTTTGAGACGTTTTGGTTCTATGTTCATTAAAGATATTGTTTGTCATTTTCCTGCAAAGTTTTTGTCTGGTTTTGGCATCGGGATAATGATGTCCTCATGAAATGAGTTGAGAAGTATTCTTTCCTCTTAAATGTTTTGAGGAGTTTGCGTAGAGCTACTATTATTTATTCCTGAACTGTTTGTTAGAATTTTCAAGGGAGGCCATCCGGGCCTGCAGTTCTTATTGTGGGGAGGTTTTTAACTAAAAATTCTATTTCTTTAATAGATATAAGACTATTCAGGGATGCCTGGCTGGCTTAGATGCCTGGCTCACATCTCAGGGCTGTGAGTTCAAGCCCCACATTGGGCATAGAGCTTACTTAAAAAAAAAAAAGAAGAAGAAGAAGATGACTATTTAGGTTATGTATATCTCTGAAGTGAGCCTTGGTTGGTATTTTGTGTCTTCCAAGGAATTTGTCAATTTCATATATAAGTTGTCATATTTACAGGCACAAAGTTGTTTTCATAATATTCCCCTATTATCCCTTAAATGTCCGTAGGATATTTAGTGTTGTCCTCTTTTTCATTCTTGATATTGATAAAGTATCTTCTCTTTTTCTTTCAGCCTGGCTATAACTTTATATATTTTATTGATTTTTTCTCCAAGAACCAGGTTTTGGTTTCATTAATTTTCTCTCTTCAATTTCATTGATTTACTTCGATTGATATTATCTCCTCTGTCTCCTTGTTTTGGGTTTAATCTGCTCTTCTTTTTTGGAAGCAGAGATCATCGAGACTTCTGTTTTTCTAACATAACTATTTCAGGTTATAAATTTTCCTCTAAGCAATGTTTTCATGTACCAAATTTTGAAATTTGATATGCCATGTTTTCATTTTTATTCAATTCAAAACAGAAATAAATTCTCTTGTGAATTCTTCTTTGACTCAGGGGTTGGTTAGAAGTGTCTTACATAGGGGCGCCTGGATGGCTCATTCGTTAGGCATCTGCCTTCGGCTCAGGTCATGATCCCAGGGTCCTGGGATTGAGCCCTGCATTGGGCTCCCTGCTCTGCGGGAAGTCTGCTTCTCCCTCATCCACCCCCTCCTGCTTGTGTTCCCTCTCTCGCTGTGTCTCTCTCTGTCACATAAATAAATAAAATCTTAAAAAAAAAAAGAAGTGTCTTGCATAATTATCAAATTGTTGAAGGTTTTCTAGGTTATCTGCTTTATTTCTACATTCATTCCATTGTAATCAGTTATATATTCTGAATAATTTCAATTTTTTGAAATCTGTTAAAAATTATCTTAGAGAATGTTCCATGTGCACTTGAAAAGAGTAAATATATTGGGGCGCCTGGGTGGCTCAGTTGGTTGCGCGTTTGCCTTTGGCTCAGGTCATGATCCTGGGATCCTGGGATTGAGCCCCACGTCAGGCTCCCTGCTTAGTAGGAGTCTGCTTCTCCCTCTCTCTGCCCCCCACTCGTGCTCTCTCTCTCTCTCAAATAAATAAATAAAATCTTTAAAAAAAAAAGACAGAAAAGAGTAAATATTTTGCTGTTACTCAGTGGTCCCTTTCTTCCAAGAGTCAAATCTCCTCTAGTGCCTCCCTGCTTTTGATCACTCTCCAGTGTCATGAACATTGTTTTTAAAATATGTTTTGTCCAGAGCTTTCCAGTCTTGGCAGTGAGAGGGTTAGTCTTTTACAATTTTTCCTGTAGCCAGAACTCTCAGATAGCTTGTAATATAAGAAAAGATTTTCTTATTTTTAACCCAGTATGTGTTGAGTTTTGGGGTTCTTTCAAGCAAAAAAATTCCTAACTTGTGCATATACACAGTAGTTCATCCTGTGTGAACTAGAATGCTGAGAACAGATGGGATGAAGAGCAGGGCACTCTGTAACTAGAACTGATTTCACTTAACCTGTATTAATCTACATTGGAAGTCAATTTAACAGAAGGAGGAAGCATATATGACTATTTTGTTTACTTATAGATAAAACTATTTATAAAATGTTTCCAAATTTAAAATTTACAAATGAAGAAGGAAATAAATGGAAATATCACTACCTTTACACTCAGGAGGGCTACTACTCCACTTGTTATTGTCAACACAAATAAGTTTGCTGTTTCCAACAAGTGAAAATTCATCTGGTCCTTGTGAAGGGTTACAACTGAAAGTAATTAATTCATTATATTCAAATATAGTTCTGTGACTATTGGTGTATTTTCCATTTTTTATTTTTGCAGGTGGTTTACAGTAAATCCCTTAAAAAGGAGACAAAAAGAGGAAATAAAGGGCAAAAGGAAAAGTGTTAAGATAGCATTATACAGTCCTATGAACTGCCTTCAGTAAATTCATTACCAATTTCTACAAGCTAGCTGTGAATCTAGTACCTATTTAGGCTTCTATGACAAAATGAATGATCCCAAATTCAAACCTTTGAAATAAACTTTCAAAACACAAAACTCATTTTCTTTAATACCTATATGAAATACCTATTATTACTTTATAAGGCCATGCTAAGTTTTGTTCTAGTCATCATTAAAGGTACTGAAATTTTAATGAGAAGACATGTTTGTGATTAAAAATAAAATTTACTGCTAGCTGAGAAATTCTTTATATTTAAGTATATCCATTTGCAAATACACACACACACACACACATATACATTTGCTAAATAAGTGATTCACAATAATACCAAGATATTGTCTTTCTTCACTTTCATCCTTATGAACATACACTGAAATTTTCCAAGACTACATATTGTGTGCTTTCACAACAGACTGAATCCAGATGTCCTTCTTTAAGCCAAATATGAAAGAGATTGCAAAAATGTAAAACAATGGCACTATTTTCAGTACTTGGTTTGGAAAATTTATTTTTCATAAAAATATGCTGCATATGTTAACGTATTGAGCTTACTATTCTTAAACATAATAATTATCTTTAAAACTTCTCATTTTTTTATTCCAATATAATGAATATCAATAAGCACAGCCCACATAAAAAAAAGCTCTTTGGGATCTTTGTCAATTTAAAAGCATAAAGGGGATCTGAGGCCCAAAAGATTGAGGCTTGCTTGTCTAAATTCTAAAATGAAAATTTACTTACTATAGCATTTTGGAAATTCATCACTCCAAAACACATCATCCCCACGAAGTTCACAAAGTAGAGCTTTTTTTCCAGATAAGTAATAACTGAGAAAAGAAAAACTTACTGTTTTCTCTATTAGTTAACAAGATGCATGTAAAAATGAAAATTTTTAACACTGTTGCTTTTCTACACAGTAGTTTGAGGGAGAAGTTTCTTAAATAACATTATGTAGTGAAAGTGCTAACCATATCCGCTATTAATTAAATAGAGTTTCTAGGGGCGCCTGGGTGGCTCAGATGGTTAAGCATCTGCCTTCAGCTCAGGTCATTATCCCAGATGGAGCCCTACATTGGGTTCCCTGCTCATCAAGGAGCCTGCTTCTCCCTCTCCCTCTGCCTGCTGCTCCCCCTGCTTGTGCTCTCTGTCCAATAAATTAAAAAAAAAAATCTTTAAATAAATAAATAAGTAGAGTTTCTGCATTTGAACCGTCATTGACCAAAAGCAAAGATGTCTAAATACATCTGCTGTACCTGTCAGTCTGGCCTCTTTGCTATCTCCAGCAATCACATTACACATTCATTTCTATGCCTATGTTCACACCATTCTTCTCAGTAAAAACAACAACTGGGTAGAGAGATCAGGCCCTAGAGTTTGCCTGTCTGGATCTGAGTCCCAGCTCCATGACTCACTTTCTATCTGAGCTCAGGCAAGTCCCTTAATGGTCCCCTTGCTCAGCTTCCTCGTCTGTGAAAAGAGGATAACAGTGCATACTTCATGGGACTGTTTCAAGGATTAGATGACTTAGCATCTGGTACCTATTGAGTGCTAGGCAATTTTTAGCTCTTGTTAATATTCTTTAGGTAAGAATATTTTTCTGGGACTAGATCAGGAATATTACTCAGTGAAATTTTCTCTTGTGATTTAAATTCATGGTACTCTCTTCTGCTGGACTCTTACTATAATAATCATGAATAATTCTATTTATTTGCTGCTTCTCATTTATTATTTTGCTTTGACACCTCTCCATACATTGTGTTTCTCAACAAGTCTACAACTTCTTTGAGAAGAGAATATGTCTTAAACTTTTTGTATCCCTCAAACTGCCTAGCAGGCTTACTCTATATAACTACTAACTGGATGTTCCAATATTTTTACTTGGTCAAGTTAAAAAAAATAGTGAAACTGTTTATATGTGGATCCAATTGCCTTTTTTCTACATTATGGTATTTAGGGAAGGATTCTGGGAAAATGGCAGAGTAGGAAGCACTAAGAATCTGTCTCCCCAACCAGACAACAAGTGCAATGGGAGAATCTGCCTAATGGAACTGTTTTGGAGCTCGAGTCTGATGACAGCTTGCAACTTCCAAGGAAAGACTTGGACAGGTAAATTGTATTGATTTCAGTCAATATCATCTTAGCGCCGTGTCAGGTATGTATCTCCTACCCCTGCAGGCAGCTGTGTATGTGTTCCTGGAGCAGCTTAGAAGCAGTTTCAGAGAGTGAGGGTGGGCAAAAAGGACCTTGTCCTCCAAATACTGGGGACCTTTGCTCTTATCACTGAATTCCGACTCCAATCACAGGGAAGCAATCAAAGAGGTGGGCAGCCACTGCTGTCATACATACTCCTAACTCTCGTAAGCCCCTCTCTAACTGTCTGAAGTGACTTTCAGGGAATGTAAACATCCAGTACTCTTTGCTCTCCACTTCATTTTTCACTTTTTCCCTCTCTGGGGCCAAACATTAAAGACTAGAATATTCAAAACCAAGTGCATATGTGAAGAGAAGTTAAGAAGTGAGTTGTATTTCCAAGGAAAGTCTCAGAAAAGACTGGAAAGACTGTTAGTTTAAATGTCAGGCTGATAAAATATGGGAAGAGCCCAGATGTCCATTGACAGATGAATGGATAAGAAGATGTGAAATAGATATAGATAGATAGATAGATAGGTAGATAGAGATAGAGATAGAGATAATGAAATATTACTCAGCATCAAAAAGAATGAAGTTTTGCCATTTGCAACAACATGGATGGAACTAGAGGGTATTATGCTAAGCAAAATAAATCAGTCAGAGAAAGACAAATATTTTATGATTTCACTCATATGTGGAATTTAAGAAACAAAACAGATGAACATAGGGGAAGGGGAGGAAAAATAAAATAAGATGAAATCAGAGAGGGAGACAAACCATAATAGACTCTTAACTATAGGAAACAAACGGAGGGTTGCTGGAGGGGAGGTGAGTGGAGGGATGGGGTTACTGGGTGATGGGCATTAAGGAGGGCACTTGATGTAGTTAGCACTAGGTGTTATATGCAACTGATGTATCACTAAATTCTACCCCTGAAACTAATAATACACTATATATTAATTAAACTGATTTTAAATTAACAATAAATAAATAAATGTCAGGCTGATCCTCAACAGAGATACCCTACCACAATCACAAAAAAATATGAATAATGACATAAAACATTGGTCCTAGGGGAAGGGAAGAATTTTATTTCCATATTATTAGATTCAAATGTCCAGTATTCCACACACACACACACAAAATCACAAGATATACAAAGAAACAGGAAAGCTTGGCCCATTGAAAAGAAAAAAATAAATCAACAGAAACTGTTCCTGAAAAAGACCTGATGGCAGATTTACTAGACAAAGACTTCAAAATAACTATCTTAAACATGCTCACAGAACTAAAGGAAGAACTGGAGAAAGTGAAGCAAATGATGTATGAATGAAATGGAAATGTCAATAAGGTGACAGAAAACCTAAAAAGAAACCAAAAAGAAATTCTGGAGCATAAAAGTCAAATAACTGGGATATGAAAAATTCCCTAAAGGCACTGAAAGTAGATGTGAGCACCAGAAGAAATCAGTGAACATGAAGCCAGAACAATGGTAATTATTGAGTCTGAGGACAAGAAAGAAAAAAGAGTGAAGAAAAGTGAGCAGAACTTAAGGGACTTATGGGACACCATTAAAAAGACCAACATACACACTGTGGGAGTCCTGAAAGGATAAGAGAGACAGAAAGGGGCAGAGAGAATATCTGATGGCTGACAACATCCCAAATGTGATGAAAGACATGACTACAAACATCCAAGAAGCTCAGCAATCTCCAGGCAAAAATGAACTCAAAGAGTAACTAAGACATATAATAAACTTTCAAAAGACAAAAATGAAGAGAGAATCGAATCGCAAAAGCAGGAAGAGAGAAGTGAGTCATCATACAAGGGATCCTCAATAATATTACCAGATTTCTTACCTGAAGCTTTGGAGGCCAGAAGATAGTGGGAGAGTATACTCAAAAAAGTGCTAGAAGAGGGTGCCTGGGTGGCTCAGTGGGTTAAGCATCTGCCTTCAGCTCAGGTCATGATCCCAGGGTCTTGGGATCGAGTCCCACATCGGGCTCCCTGCAGAGGAGCCCTCTGCCTCTGCCTCTCTCTCTGTCTCCCATGAATAAATAAATAAAATCTTAAAAAAAAAAAAGTGCTAGAAGAAAAGAACTGTCAACCAATAATCGTCTATCCAGTAAAACTATCTTTCAAAAGTGACGAGGAAACTAAGACTATTTATAGATAAACAAAAGCTGGGGGAGTTAGTGACCACCAAATGTCCCTTGCAAGAAATAAGAAATGCTTAAGGGAGTCCTGCAAGATGAAATGAAAGGACACTAGAAAGTATCTTTGAGCCATACGGAGAAATAAATATCTCACTAAAGATAAATACATGGGTAATTATAACAGCTTGTATGATTGTAACAATGACTTATAACTGTAATTTTTGTTTTCTTTGTAACTTAAGAGACTAATATTAAAGAAAAAAAAGAAATGTAAAATATAGTATTACTGTAACTTTGGTTTTTAACTCCAAATCTTGTTTTCTACATAATTTAAAGAACTAATTTAAAAGAACTATTAGTTTATGTTTTGGAACACAGGATGTATAAAGATGTAATTTTGTGTAATAAACAATCAAATGGGGTGGGGTGGAGTTATAAAGGATCAGAGTTTTTGTATGTTATGACATTAAACTGGTACAAATTCAAGTTAGAGTATTATAACTTTAGGATGTTAAATATAATCCCCATGATAACCACACAGAAAACAGCCATAGAATATACACAAAAGGAAATGAGAAAGGAATTCCAACATTTCAATACAAAAAGTCAAATAAGCAAATAAAGAAGACACTAATGCAGGAAATGAGGGCCACAATAAAGCTATAGGGCATATAGAAAACAAATAGCACAAACACAGAAGTAATTCTCTCCTTATCAGTAATTACCTCAAATGTAAATGGATTAAAACTCTCTAATTGAAAGACAGAGATTGGTAGAATGGATGAAAACACATGATCTAACTATATGCTATCTATAAGAGACTCACTTAAGATCCAAGGACAAAAACAGGTTGAAAGTGAATGGACTGAAAAAAATATTTCAGCAAATAGTAACCAAAAGAGAGTAAGGTTGTCTATACTAATATCAGACCAAAGACTTTAAATCAAAAAAGGTTACAAGAGACAAAGGATAGGGCGCCTGGGTGGCTCAGCTGTTAAGCGTCTGCCTTCGGCTCAGGTCATGATCCCAGGGTCCTGGGATCGAGCCCCGCATCGGGTTCCCTGCTCCGCGGGAAGCCTGCTTCTCCCTCTCCCACTCCCCCTGCTTGTGTTCTCTCTCTCCTGCCTCTCTCTCTGTCAAATAAATAAAATCTTAAAAAAAAAAGAGAGACAAAGGATATTATACATTAATAAAGGGTTCACACAGCAAGAAGATTTAACAGTTGTAAACATTTATGCCACCTGATGACAGACCATCAAAACATACGAAGCAGGGCGCCTGGGTGGCTCAGATGGTTAAGCATCTGCCTTCGGCTCAGGTCATGATCCCAGGGTCCTGGGATCGAGCCCCACATCGGGCTCCTGGCTCAGCAGGGAGCCTGCTTCTCCCTCTCCCTCTGCCTCTCTCCCTGCTCATGCTTTCTCTTCTCTCTCTGTATCTCTGTGTCTCAAATGAATAAATAAAATCCTTTAAAAAAAATAACTTTAAAAAAAAACAACATACGAAGCAAAAACTGACCGAATTGAACAAAGAAATACACATTGCTACATAATAGTCATTTCTACCAGTTGGAGACTTCACTATCCAGTTCACTGTAATGGATAGAACCACCGGACAGTGTAAATAAGGAAATACAGGACTTCAAGAACACAACATTTCTGTGAGTCCTCCTTCAAATCTGAAAGTTGGCATTTTAAATAGGGTGCAATTTGCCAAGGATAAAGTCACCATGATTACTACATTTTTGATGCTTACACTTACAATAAACTTATTAGATATGTAAGTATTAGACAATTTTGTTTTCCTTCAATGTAAGTTTCTTTGAATTAATTATGCATCTTTTCAGTCTCTATAAAAGGCCCTTGGGCCTTTTATAAGTGCAACATTTATGGGAATGCTTGAGAAGCAAAACAAAAATGGAATTAGTAACATTTACCTTATTTCCTCTAAGGAGCAACTTACCCCTCATTACAATAAAAGTAAGCTTCACTGTCAAATTGAAAGGTGTAATTTGGGGCAAAGACTTCACCATTTTCGAGTCCTGGAGTATTACATTCTTTTCCTAAAATAAAATTTTAAAATTTGTTTTTTAACACCAATTTCAAAACAGATTTAAATCAAGATCAAAATTCTGCACTACTCTCTGCAATTAATGCAGTATCATTTTCTATAACTAACTGGTATGCAAACTTAAAATTCACATTTAACCTGGTAAACAATTGCCAAGAAAAAGATCCCCTGGGGATTTCTTAAATATTGGAAAAAATACTACTATCTGAAACCAATTTTCACATGAGAAAATCTTGCTGTAGGGGCAAATGCACCCTAAAATTTGTAAAAATCTCTAGAGAAAGCAAAAGCAAAAAAAAATTTTTTGTTTGTTTTTTTTGTTGTTTACTTACTGAAACAAGCTTCTTCAAGAGGGTACCATGAGTGATTTTGCTCACAATAAGTCACGACGGATCGCAGAGTTAAGTATCCTGGATAACACTGATAATATACTTCCTCCCCAACTTCATAATACTTTTTAGGGCTATCCCTCAAGGCCATGGTTTCATATTTGGGTGGCTCACCACAGGCATCTAGGGATAAGAGAATAAGAACATGAAATTTTTTTGGTATGCTTTTTTATGTCTTTTTTTTTTTTATGTCTTTTTTAAATACATGTAAGTGTTTATCTCACTCACCAACCAGGGACTGTGGTCTGGCAGGAGGTAGGTAATACAGAACAAATGGAAAGATCCTTGGCAAGCTTTTAATGATACTTACATGCTTTTACCCAGGTGGTGGGAGTAGTGGAGGATATGCCCTGCTTGCTTCAAATAACAGGCTATTAGCATTTTATTTGATGGGGAATAAGCTGAATTTTCGTACAATGATAAACTGAAGAGACAAAATCAATGTTTATGGTCTTAAAATATATATAGGTATGCAACCATCCCCATTTTTTTCTAAATTCATTTAAAAACTAGCCTCTCCTCTAAGAAGCCTTCTGTAGTACATAGCACTCTGCTCCAATTACTCTTCCATAGTCTGAAACAAACTAATGATAACTCTTCACTTCAGGCTCAGTCTCCTTGCAGAAGGCAACTTCCTAGAGGCCAGGGATCATAGGTTTTCTTTTTTCTAATGCACTGTGAACCCAGAGGGTGCTTCAGAAATGCTAGAGTAACAAGTGATTATCAAATAAGCATTATTAATTATTAAATAAGCATTACGAAGTTCATAGATGAAGATAAATACGCACTAAAGTCTTTCATGTAAGACTCCATTTCATGTTTCATATGAGTGAACTAAGCTTCTCACAAGTGAGTAGATACCATTTAAATATCAAAATTTACTACTCTGAATAACCTTACAGGAAAATAATGTTGCTTTTTTGGGCATTACAATACTTTAACAATAGATGCCATTATATAATAACATAGGCTGCATGCAGAAAATTCCCCAGTGTTCCAAGGGAGTTTCAGGAAAGTGAAATAGTGTGCTAATATAGGTCAACACAACTGTCCGCCTCTACACTTGCAAAAATTAAAATAACTCTCTTATACCAGCACAAACCTACAGCCCTGCCCAAAAAACTACCTTCAGAAAATCTTGGTCTCCGACCAAAACTGGAATCTCAATGAAACCTGAACTACCCGCTATGTCTCCTCTGGCTACACAACCTAGTTTTAAATTTTCTTTGCTTCCTCAAATAGAGACTCTGGCATCTATACCTGTCAATTGTATTTTTCACTTCCCACTCATTTCTGGGCCCATGAAATCAGTTAAATTACTTTCAAAGTCATTAGTTGACTCCCTTCTTGGTAAATTCATTTTAACAGTTTCTTCCTCGGTAATGTTACTCTGTCTATAACATCTGCAGCCATTGATCAGTCTTGGCTCTCTCCTGCCTGAAAAGCTCTCTCCCTGGTTTCCAGGAAAGCACACCACCCAGGTTGGCAGATTGTCCTCTGGCTACCCTTCCTTCTCTGCTTAATTCCATAATGTGATGTTCCTAATGGGTTGCTGTGGGACCTCTGGTTACTTCATTCTGCACATCCCTCTCGGTGAGTGTGTATACTCCCATGACCTCATTACCACTGAGAAGAGCTGCCTCCCAAATCCTGGTCTCCATGCTTGATCTCTAGCCAAGGTGCCGACTGTATATATTCAACTGCCTCCCTGAAACTGTACCCCATAGTGTTAATGAGTTGAAACTAGCAGAAAGTTTATACATTTTTTTTCAGAGAACTGTTTCTCCATAATCAGTGTGTCTTTTCAGACCCTGCTAACAAACTCATGAGCTGTTACTGCAGAAGCCTGGAATCAAGGTCAATAGATATGGCTCCAGTTTACGAACAAGCAAGGCTGTGCATTCTTTACCCTAGATAAGGAGTCTAAGACCCAATCCAGGTTATACTGGCTCTCAGGGCAGGCCTGTAGCCCCTTCTCCTTGTCCTGAGATAACTTCCTGAGGTCAGGGGCTAAATTTTGCCTCCTTCTGATGCTGAGTATCCACCCCAAAGGGAACATGGTATGTATGCATGTATGACACTCAATGTACAAGCTCCATCTTTCCTCATGAATAAGTTGTAAGTTTCCCTGTTGCTTTCATAAATATTTATATAATCTCAACCCCTATGATTATAAAAAAGACTTGTTCTCTCTCCCTTCAGAAAGGGGAGTTCAGGCTTGCTCTCCTGCCTCCTTTGGTTGCCTCTCAAATAAACTTTCCTAGCTAAATACCTAATGTCTCTGTGATTGGCTTTGCTGCGCATCAGGCAGATGGACTTGGGTTTGGTTGTAGCCCCACAGGCTCCACTTGGAACGTGTCATGTTCTCTCAAATAACATTATGAAGCCAGAGTGTGTCCTCTTGCCTCAACAAACAAGATAAACAGTTTTCACAACTCACAATTCTACCTTTCACAATTCTACCCTTCCCTCCAGTTCAAACCACTGCCATTTCTTCTCTACAGTGCTACCAGCATCTCTGAACAGGCCCCCTTACCTACCTCACCACCTTTCCATTCATTTCATGTTTCACAATGCTGCCGAAGACACGTTGATAGGACACAGTGACCAAAGCTCTTCCAAGTCAGATACCTTTCAATGACTTCCCAACGCCCTCAGGACAGTATCTAGCCGACTTGTAAAGCCCATCACTATCAGGACTCTGCTCACTCTTGCATCCTGTTCTCAAGCCCTATTCAATTCCTGGCAGTGTCCATTAAATTACCTAAATTACGTCAGCACTCCAGACCTCCCTGCATCATTTAACTTCAGCTTTGACCAGAGACCCCGCATTCCTCCCACCCTCCCACCCATTCATCCTCGTTTCAGCCAACGTGCCACTTCTTGTGGCTCTTGACATCTCTCACCAAAAAACTGGGTTAAGGGACACCTGGGTGGGCACCTGGGTGGCTCAGTTGGTTAAGTGACTGCCTTCGGCTCAGGTCATGATCCTGGAGTCCGGGACTTGACCCTCTTCCCTCTCGTGCTTTCTATCTCTCATTCTCTCTCTCTCTGAAACAAATAAATAAATAAAATCTTAAAAAAAAAAACGGGGGGACACCTGGGTGGTTCAGTGGGTTAAGTGTCTGCCTTCGGTTCAGGTCATGGCCCCAGGGTCCTGGGATCGAGCCCCTCATCGGGCTCCCTGCTCAGCAGGGAGCCTTCTTCTCTCTCTGCCTGCCACTCTCCCTGCTTCTGCTCTTCTCTCTCTCTGACAAATAAATAAATAAAATCTCAAAAAAAAAAAAACTGGGTTAAGTGTCCTCACCATCCCCATTTACGTCTTCCAAGACGACTCCACAGTGGAAGTCATTATTGTTCCTACTCCCTACAAGACGGTTACCTTCTGAGGACCATGGGTGACACCTCTGCACTTGTAATACCTAACAACAGAGCTGAATGAGCGCTCTTACCAGTTCCACACACTCTTAGACTAAAACTCAAATTCTTTTCTGCTCAGCCAACTTCTTCCAGAGATATCAGCAAATCGTAATCTTTTCTTGGTTGTTTTATGCCTGTCTTCAACTTTTCTCATTGGTTGAATGACAGCTCTTTCCCTTTAACAGAGTATCTGATTTCTTTCATGTCAAAGTATTTATGCTTTCTTGTTTTATTTTGAGCCCATTCTCCATCACTGCTCTTGTTAGAAACAGTAGTTTAACATTATCAAAGGAGAACTCCAAATCATGGGGATTTTATTTTTTCCCAAGTACGGTAACCAAAGACTCTATGTCTTGTTTCTTAAACAATAGTGGTGATAGTATTTATCATTTTAGAAATAGCAAACATCCAGCACTACCTGTACCATTATTTCAAGTACAATTTAACTTATCTTCATACTCATCCTATGAGTTGGGCACTATTTTGCCCTCTCTAAGGTGAGCCAACTAAGGCCCAGTAGGTTCAGTAACTTGCCCAAGCCAACATCTCCAGCAGCCGGCAGTCTGGGTCCACTACGGACACTGCTTCCCACCACACTCATCTGAAACCCTCCCACGCTGACACCACACCCTGCAATGTCGTCCTCAAGAAACGGTCCTCTACTGAATCTGCGGAAATCAAAGTAACCCCGGTTTAGATTTGCTATGTGCCAAGTCACACAAAAGGGCTCAAGTGCCCTGGAAGGACAGATAATAACATCATGTCTGGATTTTAATGATGGGGATTGTTCATTCCTGACTATCCTGTTGCTTTTCACAGTGATCCGCTCTTTGATCTAGTCCTTGGCCTTTCTCTTGCCTCGCGTTTCCTCCTGCTACCACACTGGGTAGCTCCACAGTCCTTGAGCGCCCCCAGCCATGTCCTATCTCTAAGCCTCTGATCACACTGCTCCCTTGGCTATGAACACCCTTCCTTCCCGCTCAGCTGCAAACCCTGCTCAACTCCTGTCTTCTTACATTGAATCCACTCAACTGCTCCTCTAGCAAGCACTGTCTGCTTTCCTGGGGAGGCAGTGGCCAGTCCCCTTCTCTTAGACTGTCCTCTGTGTGGATCTCTCAGTCACTATCACAAGTCATTGTGTTGACTAGATCCCATGGCTGACTCCATTCACCCATGCGGCCATAACACCAAGCACAGCATGTCCATCAGAGAGGTGCTAGGCAAAACGATTTAGCACTCAAAAGACCACTGCAGTGAAAGAGAACACCAAGGTCAAAAATATACTGTGATGCATCTAATCCTGAAAAGAATCACCTTTAAGCTTTATGCCCTGGAGAAAGATCTGGCCATGTAATTTCTTCTGTTGCCTATCTCCCAGGATTCTGGTTACCTAGCAATTGACCAGATAAGGACTGCTCTCTTTGCATGATAATATGTAGAGTAAGGACAGAAGAAATTACTCTGTAAGCACTTAGGGATCTATCTTGGCTTCCTCCATTAAAGAGAAAGAAAAGACCTAAAAAAGACACCACTCACAGCAGGAGATGGTGGGTTTTGTCCAAAAAGCAGACCCCTTCTGGAAGAAGGAGACCGGTCCCGAATTGGACAAGTGTTCCCTTCTACCATCCCATGTAGCTGGCAACCACCGCTGAGATGGCAAGCCTCCAGGCACAACACTGTCTGCTTACAAACCTGCTTCTGGGCCGGGGAGCTGCTTCAAAACTCACATGTGTGTTCTAGTGCCATATTTTCCCTACCCGACAGAACGAGGCTCATTTGTACTTTCTCTTAATTTCATACCGATCCTGACTTTACCTTTGAACTCTCAACTTGGCCTTGTGTTTCCTTTTCTGCATTTCTGTTTTATTACCTTCCATGTTGCACCCTATTCATTTCCTCTCTTCCAAAAAACAGTCATGGTCTCCTTCAACTGTTGGCTCTAAGCTTGATCTAAACTTGATCCTTTTCTAAAACATTTTCCTGGTTTCTTTTATTGCCACTGGCCCCTCTGCACGCTACTCCCCCCACAGAAATGAACTTTTTGTTGATTAGCAACAAGCAAGACTAGAGTATTGTGAGCCCTGCAGACTCCACATAAACAGTGGAAGCCAGAGCCTCTCTGACAGTCAGCTTCCCCAGACTGAGCTTAGGCACCACACAAAGGCCATCCTAAGGACGGGTGTTTAAAGAACCTTCCTCCTGGCAGCAGGAGGAATTTTTGCTGCCACTCTAAGTCCCAGCTTAATTACAGTGTATTATTTATATTTCACTTTCTGGTACTCAGTAGTTATAGAAGAGTGTAGACACTGGGCAAAAAGCTGTAAATCTGGAACCACAAGTGTGACAAGACAGAGAAGATCTCTGCATTATAGTAGGGAGAGCAGAAGACAGTTTTGCAAGAGTGACTCCCAGTCAGGGGGGATTTGGGCTGGAGTGTGTGTGTCTATCTGAGACAGGCTGGTCAGAGAGGGGCCTCCTGAGGGGGTGACATCTCAACTGGGCTTGAAGGGTAAGAAGGAGCCTGACAGACAAGGGGCCGGAAGAGAATGTTCCAAGTCTGAGGGACTAGTAAGTACAGAAGCCCCACAGAGGCAGAGTTTGGCCTCTTCAGTAAGAGAAATTGCCCCGGCCCCTAGTCATTGTTAAATGCTATCAGAGAATCAAGCTCCTTTCCTCCAGAATACTTGTCTTGGGTTATAATGTATTTGTTCATAGCATGTTTTGATTTGTCTGCCACCCCCCATAAATTTTAGCAACGATTACTCAACTGCCACTGTGTGCCTGGCACTGGGGTTCTAAGTGAGCAAAATAGTTTCTGTTTCTACTTGTGTGAGTGGAAGCAGATCAATAGTGAAATCAGGATCATAAAAATGGGACAGTTTTGTGATCACTCACCAGTGTATCCTCAGGACCAGCATAGAACCCGGCACACAGAGGGCAAATATGTGTTGAATGAATGCTACTAAGGAAAGAATGCAGCATACAAATCGTATATGTAATAGGATCCTAGAAATAACTTGGGCAGAGAAATACAGGTGCAGATAAAGACAGAAAGAAATATACCAAAGTACTGAAAATGGTTGTCGCTTCATTGTAAATGTGTTAGACAACAAGCATGTCTTCTTTAGTGCATATATATATATACACATATATATATAATAAACACCAATTCTTATTCAGTGAACACTAAACAAATTTAGTGGTTGGGGGCCTTCAGGCCTTCAGTTTCCCTCAATGGGTGTAAGGGAAAACCGGATTGACATTATTTACCGTGTATTTCTTAGGATACTCATTTGTCAGTAAGCTACCAATGCTTTTAAGATTAATTCAGAATTGGGCCCCTGGGTGGCTCAGTTGGTTAAGCGACTGCCTTCGGCTCAGTTCATGATCCTGGAGTCCCCGGATCGAGTCCCGCATCAGGCTCCTTGCTCAGCAGGGAGTCTCCTTCTGCCTCTGACCCTCTCCCCTCTTGTGCTCTCTCTCATATTCTCTCTCTCAAATAAATAAATAAAATCTTAAAAAAAAGATTAATTCAGAATTCCCCTCAAATATGACCCACCCTTATGAAAACAAGGAATACAATGGCAAAAAGCCATTAGGTAATGGAATTGGATAACGTTTCTTGGATGGAAACAGGAAGATGATTCTATGTCCAGAAAAAAAAAAAAAACTGAAAGAGGAACACCCTGTAAACCAACACCAATATGATCTTGGACAACAAGGTGACCGTTGCCTTTATGTACAAAAAGCAAGGTGTGGCCTTCCCAAACCCTCTAAGCCCCAGGGGCCCGCAGCATGCTTGCACCCGGAGCCCACACTCACCCAAGCACCGCACAGCCACACGCGATCCCCAACCCCCAGTAAAGCAAACGGTGAGCTTCCTTACCCCACACCCACCACCACAAGCCTGGTTAGTTCCGTAAACCACACACCCCGTAACACCCAGCCCGGCACAAACAACCCCCCTCTCTCCAAAGCCATCAGCCCTCCAGGGAACACAGGACAAACTTCCCCACCGGCACACCGCGGATCCTAGCAACAGCCACACGCACTGGGGACGGAGACCAAGCCGTCACCCCAAGCCCCGAGTCCGCGCTCCCCTGCCCCTAGGTGCCTCAGTCCGGAAGCACACTTCAAGCACTCGCTGGGGTCACAGTTCCGCGGGGTCACAGTTCCGCCAGGGGAAAACACCAGCCGCGCGCAACACCCGCAGGGTTCACTGCCCAACGCCTCGCAAGCCCTCAACTCCGGCCCCACAGGGCCCACACGCCCTGGGTACCCGCATAGCACGACGGGGGCCGCCCCAGCGCCGCACCTACTCCCGACCCACCAAGCAAAGCTCCTGGGCCCTGGGCCCCGTCCGCCTCCTCCCCGACCCGCTCCAGCGCGCCGCCAAAGCGCACACACTCTCCAGACTCTTACCAGAGGGCATGGGTATCAGGAGCACTGAGGCCATCAAAGGGATCCCAAAACAACACAAAAAAGAAAAGCGCTTCTCGAGGCAGCAGCGATGGGCTGTGCGCGGCGCGCAGGACGCCGTCATCTTGCAGGAGACCAGCGGGAACCTCAGAGCCAGCCAAGCCCACACGGTCTCAGGACCGGAAAACAGACGCAACAATTCCCCAGGACCCGGGAGTCAGGAGCCACCCGCGAGGGCGTGGCCTGACCAGCGCTTGGGCGGAAGTGGCGCGCCTTCCCGAAGTGGGTGTGGCCAACTGGCGCCGGGAGGCGGGGCCTGAGCGCGAGGTCCACAAGCCCCCCCGGACCTGGCGTGGGCCTGCGGTGGTCGCGCCGCCTGGTCGCGGAGCAGCTCCGTCCCCTCCCGCGGGCGCCGGGCGTCCCTGCGACGATCCCGTGTGCACGCCGACCCGAGGTCCCCGGCGGCTTGCGGCGCTCGGCCGCCTCACCGCCCGGACTCTGGAAGGGTGGGAAGGAAAGCAGAGCTGGCGGGGTCATCTTTGTCCCTTTTCCGGAACGGAGCGCCGCAGGGAGCGAAAAGCGCAGCGACCTGGAACTACTAACCCAAGGCCCAGGCAGCGGGTCGTCGTGGGGCCGCATCCCTCGCGACTCCCGTGTGTCGTGGGGCACTCCGCACTGCCCGAACTCCCTGGGCCCTTGTTTCAAGAGTTGGCATTAATCGGGCCTCTTGAGGGACAAAAACTTGTGATTTCCGTGGCTCAGCGTCTGCTCTTGGATCCCCTGGAGGCCTGCTAGATTTCAGAATCTCAAAGGTTTGGCCACTGCACTCCCAACCCCTAAAGTAAAGCAAGGTAGATGAATTATTGAACAACACCGAGCCATTAGCATTTGGGGCTTCACCTCTCTGAGTTGGCCCTTAGCAACTAAATGCTTTATTGAAGAGGCAAAAAACATGCATGAAAAAGGTAAGGACAAAGGTGTATAGAATTGCCAATCTCCTGGAAGTACGTAAAGCCATTATTGTCCGGATAGAGAGGAATCCATAACAGGCAGAACTTTTCTGGTGAAACAGTCTCTCGATGGAAAATCAAGTGGAGAATTGAAGAGTGAGCCAGATCTGTTTGTAGAGTTGTGATTAAACCTGTATGACTAGTAAGAGGAAAAAAAGTCACATGACCTGTATTAAAAGAGTACACAGAAGGAATTGACATTTTCTTCCCATTAGCTGGCAAAGAATGATAAATGTCAACCAATGTGAGTAAACATATTGGGGGGACCAACACCCTCGAGCTTTTTGGCTTTTAATTTAAGTTTTCCATATTTTAAGTTTTTAAATGGCCATGACTTTTAAACCACCAGTTCCATTTGGAGTTTATCCCAGAGAAATCATCAGAGCTGTGACCAAAGATGTATAATTTTGGAAGAAAAATAAATCCTAAGTGTCTAGCCAAAGTATAAGGAATTTTTGATAGGTGGCTTTATGGTATGAATGTCTGTGCAGCAGGCAGTTAAAAAAAAAATCTGTGTGAGAAACTACGATCTATATATGTAAGTTATAAAAAACTGACTCCAAATAAGTGTTTGTCTTTGGCATTCCCATAGAGCAATTAGTTCAAAATTAACTATCAGTGATAGCATTATGGGTATTTCATTTTCTTTGTGCTTTTCAGTTTTCTATATTGACCCTCTGTTCCAGGAATCAGATGAAGAAAAAATTTTTTCAGTCCAACCTATATATCAACTGCTATTTTGTTCATAGAATGATGGGGGTTGATCCTGCAATACACAGAATTAAGGTATAACAGAATGGTGAGGAAATGTAAGCTTTCTGTATTAACCTCAAATGCATCTTCTAGAATTACAAAACTGTACATTTGAAGAATTCTATAGCTGAGAGGTACTAAAAACTTCGGGAGTTCAACAAACCATGGAATATCCTCTTTTTCCGAGAACAACACTATGTATGGATTCTTCTCAGGGCATATGAAACAATAGGTGTGGAATTGATATCTAAAAACACCTCAGGATCTTAGATTCTAAAATCCAGACACTCCATCAGGACACTGACTTAAAGGAGGTATAATTAAGGAGACAGTGAGTAGGAAACTCAATGAGGGGGGATTATTTCTGTTAATTTTTACAGGTGCAAAAGAGTTATATAACAGAAATGTTCTGTTTTTCAATGTGGACACTTGTGAAAACAGTCTCTTCATTGTTCTCTCTGAAACCCTCTGTATACAATGGTATATGTCAGTTAAATCTCAGTAAGATGAAAATTTTCCCATCTATTTCTAGTCTTAGAAGTAAGTTTTTTTCTCGTGAGTAAATTAAAAGGTGAGAAAACATGGCTGGTGTTTGGTTTCCTAGTTACACAAGCTACGTTAGAGTCAAGAATGGGGGTTTTACTGGAACTTTCCTTCAATCAGTAAAATCTCTACCTGGGGTTCATCAAGCCACTCTAAATATAATTGGAGAATTTCACATTAATTTATTTTCATCTGCCCCAATTATGGCTCCATTGGAAAGGTTCTGAGCCCTGTTCACTATTTTTCTGGACAAGCTCGATGAGACAGGGATAGAATTTTCTTGCTGTAGCTCCCGTTCTAGGTCTGTAGTAGGTACATAATAAACGCCTCTGAATACTGCATGAAATAAATGGCTCTTGCTCTCAAGTGCATCTAACATGTCTCTGCCAGTTCTCCCCCAGCATGGATTTACCAAATAAGTGCTGGGAAAGTGCTGAGAGGTTTTGTTTTAATCGTCTTAGACACTAGGAACAAGGTGGGGTTTGAGTCTAAAGGAGGAAGCTACGACTGTCTGCACAGAAAACGTTCCTGTATCAGCAGTGCAAGCTCTGATATGAAGTGGAGCTACTGTCTGTGTCCCTTAGCCCTGAGATCATTTTAGTGACTTAGTACAAAGGGAAAGTGTTGACAATGAACATCCTGTAGCCTGGACAGGAATAGAAGTCAAGAATCAAGGCTTTGAGTGAGGTAGGGGAGTAAAGGCTCCTGGTGCCTGCAACCCCCCCTAAAGATTTTGTCACACTGCCAAAGTGACAAAGAGGAGAGCATGGAGAATATGCCTCTGTGTCGACCAGGTTTTGAGCTATGTGCTAGATCTCCTTTACGGCTTTATGAATGGCACTAGGGTGCAGGTAGGTGTGTGGGGATGTCATTAAATGGAGGCCAGCTTCTGTAAAATAAATCTTAAAGTTAGATGATTCTAAATTAGTATATTTCCATCATGCTTTTCAGAGGTGGGGGTAGCAGCATGAATGGGCCTGTGAGTACTCTCAGAAAAGGCTTTCCACTGTCGTGGTGAATGACACACGAGGTTTGCTGTGAAAAGCTGAAAGAGAATGGCCAGGCAGAGCATAGGGAAGTCATCTTTTTGCTGTTGGCCCTGGGCGCTGTGCCACCTCGGTCTGTACCTGGTAAGCACCTGCCAGCCAGCTGACCTTCCTAGTTAGCTGTTACCGGCAGGAACATTCCAGCGGGAAGCTGCACCCTACACAGGGATTCTGAAACCATTAAGTACAGAGGGGAGGACACTTCTCAGAAGGGATGCATATTCATTTTGTTTTCTCTTGGCTTTTGGAGGCTTTAAAAAGTAAATATATTACAAACCATATTCCAGACATAGATTTAGAAAGAAAAAATCTTTTATTCCTTTGCCATTATAGTGATGGAGACAGAACATTTTATTTAAATGTCAGAGGCTTCAACTTACACCTCACGCTTACGTGTACACAAAAAGGAAACGAGAAAAAAATTAGATTGTTAGCACTATGAATGCCTTTGGAGACCAGTTGGTCCAGCCCTGCTCTTCAGATGAAAAATGTAAGGCCAGAGGTTAACAGAATTACTCAACAATACAAATGAAGTTAGACAATTCAGTATTTTACCCATAGTTAGTATAAACAGTATTTCCCATGTATCACTGATGTCACGGGCAAAAACTCTCATGAATTTCTTGAGATTCAATGTCCCGGGCGTCAGATGCTGGTTAATCGCACTACTCACTGACCTACTGCATTATGGGGGGAAAAGAGGAATTTACATTTTTTTCTTATGATAGGGAATTTTAATTCTAAGAAAGGCCAATTCCCAACAAATAATTTCTAACCCTCCTTTAAAATGTACTTCTTCAGAAACTCAAGACCTAATAGATTTCCCTAAGTTTCAGCTAAGCAAAACCATTGAGGATCTTTTGATATATTCATGGGTTACTTGCCTTTCTTTTATTGGAGGCCTGGTTGGATATCCTTTACCCACTTACAGGGAGGTGGGGTGGGGAGGGTTGGTCTTTGAATTTTTAACTCTAAATATACCAATTACCCTTGTTCATGATATAAGTTGTAATTTTTTCCTCCTAGTTTGCCAGTTGACTTTGCTTATGCTGTTTTTTTCCTTTCTTCCATGATTTTAAAGAAAACTTCAAGTTGATGTCCAGTTCACTCTTTATATTTATCAAGGTAAGTGTGGCACAGTATATTCTAAAAACAACTTAAAACCCAGAATTACACAGTAGTTAGCAGTGGTCATATGCAAATCTGTTGTTAAATATCCAGAAAGATTCTGGTATTTTCTAGATCGTTAGCATGGCCCATGATGTCTTACCAAATAAATTGTTGATCTGTAAGCATGTGAACCAGTTATGGACTCCAGGATCACTTGTTTATAGACCTGTACATTAATTTTGCAATTCTTAAAAGTCATGGATTCTTAGTTTATTTGGTGTTTTCTGAATCTATACAAAAAGTCACTTGCTTTTATAATAAAATTATTCTTTCATTTAAAATAGTATGTTTTTATACACACAGTACAAATTACTTTTGAAATAGAACTTAGGAAATATCCAAAGCTCATTGTTTAAGATGTTTCTCTTGAACACCTGTCCCTCGGATTCATTTAATGCCCATTTCATAAACAGAAAAAACTTTTTTTCCCCTAGAAAAGTCAAAATTGATCTCTCTATATTTTATATCTGAACTCATAGGAGGAGATTTTCCTCGATAGAAGAAAAAGTGATTATTTAAGAAAGACATGGGTGTATAAAGAAACATATGAAGAATGATGAATCAAAAATTAACAGTGGTTCTCACTGAGTAGTATAATTGTATGTGACTTAGTTTTTCACATCTTCCTCCTGGATTTTGATCTTCTTGTTAATGAACCCATTCCATAGTATGAACGTTTGAAAATAAGAAAGGCGAATCACAAACTTGTAAACAGAAATCCGAAGTGCCACCTTCTTCCTTTAAGTAATTGAGACTATTTATATACCCTAAGTGCAGTCTTTTCCCCCAACTCGATGATGTGTGCGTTCAGCAGGAGGAGAAAGCACAAGGAGTGACAGTAATCCAAGCTAAGAGGAGGGAGCTTTTACTAGCTCCTGGGAGCCCAGCAGCACCTTCACGTGCACACGTCTGTGTCTCAATGAGGTCACTTCCAAGATTTTATGAGTCTCACATCTTACTCTGTTGAATTGGCTCCTTTCCAGCAACATTGTAATCCAAGGCGTTTTCCAGCTCTATAGTACTTTGTCAAGGAAGGGCACTGAAATAACAGGATATTTTTATTCAGGTGACAGCATGGGTGACAACTGAACTGCCCAGAATTTGCTTCTTAAGATGGTGATACTAACATTACACATAATTACAGGTTCAGAAGAAGTGTTTATGCCCTCCTAGTGGTTGCTATGTAGGGCACAAGAAAATATGGCATAAATTGAGACACTGAGTAGATAAGAGAGAGATTAATGAATAAGTTGACCTTTCCTCATTGCCTTTTTTGCCAAAGGAAAAGTGTTCTCTGTGTTGAGCAACTAAATAGAAAGAGCCTTGTTCCAGAAACATAGAGGTCCCTCCTGACACACAAAATATTTCTGACTCTCTTTTCTGAGCCAGCTCATGGCAGGGGAGAGTAAACAGGAGCTGGTAGTTTGGAGGAGGGTCTGCCTCCGAGAGCATGTCCTCCCCCTACCACAGTCATGACTGAAAGAAGATATTGTATGGTCCAAGATGTCCAAACGCTTCCCTGGCCATGCTGAAAGCTCTCCTCTTCCTTAAGGCCAGGAAGACTGTCCTCCCACCAGTGGACAGATCCCTGTGGAGGCCCAGCAGCTCATCTGACATCCCCTATTATTACTGCCACCTGATCCCTCATCATTGTTCTCTTTCCACCTCTCAAGACTTCCCAACATCATTTGTTACCTGCGCCATCTTTGAACATTCTCGTGTCCTTTAGCACGCAGCTGTGTCTTTAGAATCTGCCTCTTTACCTGTATCACCCTCTCGGTCCTTGCACCTTGCCTGGGTGCACAGGGTGCAGATCTGACTCATTCCTTATCTACCACATCTTGCCACAGAGGATCAACCTTGCTCCTGGAGAACTCTATGGCCAAAATTCCAGTCTTAAAAAGGAGATCGGAGACAAATTCATTACGGACTTTCTACCATTTTATTAAAAGTTGATCAACAGTCAATGTACACAATTTTACCTGTACCTTGATATAAAAATGTTACAAAAGAGTTGAGGATACATGAAATTTGATCAGTTTATCCTCAACTGTTTACTGTACACTTCTCATTTGATTAAGTCTATACTCATTTGATTAAGTCTATAAGTCTCATTTGATTAATTCTATATATATTCTATATATAGAATTGGGTGGAAATTTAAACGGGGGTTCCTTACTCTAAGCTAGGTAAAGAAAACACATAGGTACAATATTGGTACATCAAGTGACTGATCAGTGTTTGAAGAATGAGCAAGTGAGCAAGTGAGTAAGTGCAATAGTGCTAAGAGGCAACAATGATAAATGAAATTTTGAATACTAGAGAATATGTTTATATACAGTTTGTAATGATAAGGGAATGGCTATCATTTGGTGGAAACCAAACCAGGATTTAATATTATACAGTTGATAAAATCTCAATGTATAACCTTGTAAAGTATGTGAAGAAGCTTATGAATACTAGCCATCGGATGGAGGCTATTACAGGTTATTTTTCTATTATATTTATTTTTTCTGGTATTTTCTATATTTTCTATAAGCACATATTACTATTAAAGGAAAATATTCTAAAATGGTATAGACAGTAAGTTGCTATCAGTTCCAAATCAGACATTACTTTGCACCAGAGCACTTTGGGAGAGCTTCTTGGGTGAGTGAATTAGGAGAAAGTTGACCTACATTCTATGTTTGTTTAGAAGATCTGAATTGCCTGTATCTTGATTAACTATAAAATGCCTCTCCTACCACTTTTTTCCTTACCTTTTCCTGGGGCCACTCTACTGTCCTCTGTTGAATTTAAGATTTCTGACATGTTTGTCGATAAAAAAGGACAGGTTTAAATTAATGCACGTTGATATATGGGAAAGAGGACAGAAAGGAAACTTATTTTAAAATGTGATACTTTTGCTTCTGCAATCTACAGGAGTGGCCTAATCTGTTTTATGGGCTTCGGTGCTGGTGTTGCTGACAGTGTCCTAAGGATCGAAGGGATAGAAATTTTAGGACACTTGGGCACAGGCAGAGTAAGCAAGGACTGGGCAAATTGCTCTGTCTGATAAAGAAAATTGGAAGTTTGAATTTACAAGAAAACCAAGAGTCAAAATGAGCTGTCCTGAGAAGACATTAAAGATTTTAACAAAATGGACAGGAGTCTAATGTGAGAGAGGCCTAGGGAAAGGGTGGAAAGCCAAGGCTTACCGGGGGGACCAAGCAGTGAGGTAATCCTGATCATATGATACAGTTCAGGGTCTGGCACTTTTCTTCTTAAGGACCAGATAGTAAATATTTTGGCTCTGGGTGCCACCCAGTCTCGCCCTTTGTGGCTTCTACTCCGCTCTGCTGTTGGAGCCCTAAGTAGGCTACCAGTGGGGAAGGCTGTGTTCCCGTAAGACCTTAGTTACAAAAACCGTTACTTTACAGTTCAGGGATTTCTACCATTCAGTTCTACGTTGTGTGCCACTTGGGTTTGTAGCATCATCTCCCTTTTCACCCCAATCCTTTAGCAAACAGCTAAACATTTACCACACAGCAGCTATGCTAGTAAGCTGGTACTTTGAATTCCTGGAATGCAGGCATGAGGTGTGGTGACAAGCCTGCGGGGGGGGGGGGGGGGGGGGGGGGGGGCGAACGGGGGGGGGGGGCGGGGCACAAGGGAGAGAGCAGTCATAGGAGGCCAGGTGAGGCAGAGAATTCAGTGAGAGTGGGGAGGTGGGAAATCCAGAGTCTCCGCAGGATCCTGAGGTGACCCTGTGCATTTAAGGGAAGTGGGGGACCCAGAGGCACACCCACGTGGCAAATGCTTGGGTTCCACAAGAAAAACAAAAGCTTCCTTCTCAAAGGTGCATAGCATCCCTGCACAAAAATAAAGGAATGCTTTGTGAAAACAGTGCCTGTGCTTAGCGCTGACAGTCCTCACCCAACTCCCTGGAAACAACCAGAATCCAAGGAGACAACAACCGAGGCATTTCCATTTCCTGAAGTACCTTCGAACTCCCCTGGGACCAGCGATCCAACTAGAGCAACAACATACGCAGATCCTGTTCTCATTTTCAGGATCTGAGTTCTTGAAGACACTATGAATTCAGTATTTACATTAGGTACCTGCTGTTTTCCTGATTTGTTTGCAGAGTTTGAGGCCTTACACCGCTGTCTTCTTGAGGTTGTAAATGGATCATCTCCTTAGGTTTTTCATCTGTAATACTGCTAATTGGCAGAAGAAGAAAAATAGGAAAAATATCTTAATTATATACATTTCAGTCTTGGAAGAAACTCGTCAGTCTCTTTTATTTTGAGATTTAGGACAGAATTTGCCTAGGTCTCTGGAATTTTTGCAAGATATGTAGAAGGAAAACATAACCAAATCCCACCTTTCAAGACCAAGTCAAAAGACAGAGGAGGAAATAATATGAAAACCAGCCCGTACATTGTGTCAGAAGACTGAATCCTTATAGACAAGTGTCCATGCCTTAAAACACCACTTATTTCCAAAGCAATTCTGACTGGCAAATAATCATTCAGCGCCAGATTGTGACATTTAAGCCTCACAAGGTCAGTGGCTCCGCACGGTGGATCTTACTCAAGGCTTCCTCTTCTGCTTTAGAGAAAGATAGTTCTGTTTTCTGTACAATTAACGTCCACAGTCCTTGTCATGAGGCATAGGAGGACTGACAGTAATTCCAAGGATTTAATCCCTTTTAAATGCCAATAACAATCATGTGTAAGTAACAATAGCTCACATTTTCTGACCTTCATCCTAAGGGCGGCGCTGTGTTAAGTGAGGTTGGAACTATTGTCCCTACTTTACAGACAAGGAAAATGAAGTTTAGAGAAGGTCGGTGTCTTGCTGAGGGTTTCATAACTAGTGAGTGGGTGTGAACACAGCTCTTACTGATTGCAAAGCTCATGATCTCACCTGGTAATGGTGCTCTGCCTCTTCAGGGGTTAAGTGTAAGCACTTCATTGTACATCAGTGAAATGAGAAATGATACAATACTGGTACCTTTACGTTTCAAATAGGTGTTGGTATTAGGGATTTAAGGGTGGAAGCACAAGGAGTTAACTCACTGCACCACTTAGCAGTACTTCCTCATTACTCAGTTACTCTTTACCCTTTCTTGGAAATTAGAACGAGGGCATCCCTTGAGACAAGAAGAGTGAGTCAGAAGCCAAAGTTTTCACAGGATGAGGAAGGGCAAACTTGAGATCTTTGCATGAGGAAGAGAAGAGGGTTGTACCGGCAGGGGTCTGGGAGGGGCTTCCAGGGAGCAATGACTAAGTGGTTAACTGAGGAATGGTTGAAGGTGGTTTTGACTGATGAGCTGGACATGGGTGTGGGCGAATACAACCTTCATGAGTGTATGCTGAAGGAATGGCTATCCACTTGATTGACGGTAGTTAATATGAATATGGAGTAATGCAGGGATGCTTTATAGTGAGTGGTCTTAATAGTTTTGTACTCCAAGCATCAGACCAATGAAGTCTTTAAATGTTTATCTGAGTATATACAAGAAGGCTGGTTTGTATAGGAATAGGAATAGATCAGAGGCAGAAACAAGAGGCAAGGATAAATGGGGTGTGAATGCGGGAATCGAACAGTATTTTTCCTGAGTGATCAGTGCACAACTTCTCCTGCTTATTAACCTTTGTCACGAATTATTGTTGTGTAAATATACAGTGAAATATAAGGTGTGCAGATGACACATTTTTCACTAGTGAAAGGCCAGTAACGTTAAATCACAGAACTTGCTAGTCGGTGTGAACGAACAGGAACATTTTCACCAAACCTTAATAAGGACAGAGTCCTTTGCAGAAATACTGTAATTTTCTTATAGGCTAATAACTCAGACCAGTGTAAAAAGGGAGAGATTGCCTACTATTCTCTATAAGGACACTGGCCTAATGTACCAGAGTACCTTAAAAAAAAAATCCAGTAAAATTGATGGGGGGACAATATTGAAAGAAAAAAGGAACTATTCCCCCTTTGTACTATATACAGTTCTGGGTGATACAGAATGAGAATCAGAAGTAGTAGCAGCTGAAATTACTCCTGGGTAGCTGAATGGGTTCAGGATTCTTGAGTCCGATCATCAGGACTGAAGCCCTACCCCTGAGCAACTTCCTGCTGGTATGATTTTAAGCAAGTCACTGATTTTCTCTGCTCCTCGGTCTTCTGTGCTTTGGGATAACAATGTTATTGGGGATACTTACCTCACAGAGTTGCTTTGGAGACCAAAGTCAATAAATTTTAAAATATTTTGTAAGCAAATATATTAGCTGTTGCTATTCTCTCTCTCTCTCTCTCTTTTTAAGATTTTATTTATTTTTTTGCAAGGGGGGGCGGAGAATGAGCAGCGGGGGAGGGGCAGAGGGAGAAGCAGACTCCCTGCTGAGTGGGGAGCCCGATGCGGGACTGTATCCCAGGACCCTGGGATCATGACCTGAGCCAAAGGCAGACACTTAACTGACTGAGCCATCAGGCGCCCCGGCTGTTGCTATTCTTATTAATCCTGACTACTGTACAAATGGAAGTCAAAAGTCATTAAATAAAAATGATTTTGAGTGCCCATAGGTGGTCTCTGCTCACAAGGAGCTCATTTTCTGCTGGGAGCGCTGGTAAGGAGTGTAGTAGGGACCAAGGAGACAAGAGACAATTTAATACTAATAAAAAAAAGATAATTTAATAGAGTGGGAAGTGCAGTGTGGGGCAAAGGGAGGAAATGCACGGAGAAATTAGACATACTGAAACTGGGAAAGCTAAGGGTCAAGGAGGCATAGGAAATCATCAGTGATGTGACGTAAGTCTAAAACAGGCTCGCTCACCAAGTTCAGTGTTAGTATATTAAAACAAAGAGCAATCTAGGTAAGTGTAGGACAATTAGAGATATACTACCTGGTAGACAGTTGTAGTAGAATTCCCTGATGGAGGAGAGGGCTAGTTATAGGCATCAGGTCCTTCGGTCACGGATCACAACACAACCGCCGGAAGAAGCCATTAATTACAACACCGCTTTCTCCTGGACACTAACCACCACCTCAGGCGTTGACTCGTGTTTTATAGCTGCTCTTTTCCCTGCTAACACTTCTTCTGGCCATTTCACTCCTCTCTTGCTGGTCCAACAAGGCATAATATGTAATCTTTAAAAAAAAAATAAGCAGTTTAAAGATTTACTAAGAAAAAAATTAGACAAAAATAGAAAGGATATATATACACACAGACAGACATGATCTCACTTTAAAACCCTCCCCAATGGGGCCCACCTAATCACCGTATTGAAGATTGTGTCTCCCCCACACCCATGTTCCCCAGCTCTCTTACTCTGCTCTGTTTTCTCCTAGTCTTTATCCCTTTTATTATAATTAATGAATTACATGTCTTGTTTTTAGTCTCTCTCCCGTCACTGGAATGAGAACTCCCTAAAGGAGTCCCTCTTCACTGATGGATACTCAACAAGCCTCAGCACTGTCCCTGGAACAGAGAAGTGCTCAATAAATATTTACAGAAGGAAATGAGTGTGCTAAACATCACCTAAGAGGGCTGCCACAAAATGAAACATGGGTAGTTTCTGAGCTGTCTCCTGTGTCAGAGGCAGAGTTGTGCCTGCACCCCTGGGGGCCTGTTTTGATCCTGCAGCTCCCGTACAGCAGGCCGTTCCTTCTATACCGTTCTCTCAGTCTTTTGGGGCGCTGACGTAAACTGCTCTGCTGGCGAGGCAAGAGCCAAGGTCCCCTCCACTCCTAGTCTGTGCCTCTCACGTGACTTTCCTCTCGCTTCCATGAGAGAAGGCTTGAGCTCCAGATAAGAATAATCGGCCCGCCCTATGTAGCCGCAGCTCCATAGTTTATCAGTTTCGCTCATACATGGACTCACCCAACTGCTTCCAAGAGAAGGATCTTGGGGATTCCAATCATTTAAACTTAGCACCTCCTCCTGCTAACGTTAGTTCTGTATTATTTCTAACATGAAAATAAATGGCATTTTCTTACAGGAATCCACTCATTATCCCAAGAAGTGAAACACAGGCCAAAAAAACTAAAGGCTTAGAGAAGTTTTGAAATGTTTATGGATTACATGTAATGATAGGTTTGATGGTGGGTTACTTGGCTGTTTGGGGGGTTTGCTCCCTGAGTTTTCAGGTTAGAGAAGACCATGATCTTTTTCCCTGCCCCCTTCCCTGCTTGCCAGGGCTCACAGAAGGCTTGAGCGAGCAAGGCCAGCGCGCTCGGAAAGAACATGGCAACGACAGGAGGCTGATTTTAAGTCGAGGAACACATGAAGAAATGGTGTGTGATCTGGGGTGTTTCGATAAGACCAGATAATCATTTCTAAGGAAATATTTTTTATGAAATGGCTGTTACTCTTTTTTATGCCGAGGCTGATAATACGAGGAAATGATCTTAAGTTACATGGGGGAAACAAATCCGTAGCTAGCCTCTGGAATTCAATCCTTCAGTCCATGAACTAGGAACAGGCCATAGGAATGCGGAATGGAGTCCTTGAGAGAAGGGAGGAGGGGCGGGACTGTCATGAATGTCTCTAAGAGAATCATTTGCCCTGGCTGGTTTTAACTGGACATTGGTCCGGGAATAGAAAATTAGAACCCAACTACTTTAATTCAGCCTTAATTTTTAAAAAGCCTAATTAAAAAAAAATGACTCACAAACTGTAGTACTGAATGAGAAACTTTAAGGGGGAAAGGTTATTGACACAAAGACTTTTGCTAATATCAAGCATCAGGGCTACTTCCACTTTTTTTTTATAATGAAGAGCGAAGTGTATTTACCTGTCAAACCACAACATATAGAGGATATTAATTAGGAAGGCCAAAGATTTAACTTAAAGGTAAATCTCTACTAATCACTTTATCATGAAATTGAGTTCCTGACTAGATTGTAAGACACTCTGCTGTGATATTGTGCTTCTAAAAATCGTACCCTGGCATCCTCTGTGAAATAGCAACTTTAGTTTCTGTCAGGCTTGTTTTCGGGGACTGTGGTTAGAACATTTCCTCTAGCAAACTGTTCCCTTAAAGGTATGAACTCTTCCTCTCATGGGTATAGAATTTGTTTATCATGGGTAAACAATGATCTTATTGACTTTGGCCTCACAGATGTTGTTCTAAATAAATCAGCGAATACAAAAGCTGAATATGTTCTGTTCCTAGTCAAAAATGTTTATGTAGATCTAATCCTTGGAAGATTTGAGCAAGTTTAAAATTAGGTGGGCTTGTAAAATATTTATTTTTTAATGCCCTGTAAAAAGCCTCAATTCTTTGACACTGGCAGCCTGTGACGTGTGGGCCAGTGAGACACACTGTGTAACTTCTGGTGCCTTGATGAGGTCTCTATATAGAGGTCGGAGCCTGGAGTGTTTCAGCGAAACTGGGATGCCAAGTGTCTACTGTTGGAAAAATTCCTTCTGCCTATTTTCCCTTTTGTAAAACTTTAATCCACCTTAAAATCCTAAGCTTTTTTTTTTAAGTGTTCTTATTATCATATATATTTCATTTAGTGTGAATACTTCTCTATCCATAATGTACATCAAGGGCCTTCTTTATAATTATGAATTATTACATCTGTTTATGTAGTAGTGGGTTTTTGTTTTGTTTTGTTTTGTTTTGAGGTTGTCTTTCACTTCTCTTTGGCTTTCAAGAGGAGGCAGGTACAGTCGTAGACATTTTCTAGGAGACTATGGCCATACCTACCCTTTTCTGTGCTTTACAGTTATCCAACAGGAAACCATGATGGATGAAAGAAAGAAGATCACGCCAAAGAAAATACCTAGGCAGTAAAACAGGGTCATTGAATGCATGGAAAATATGACCCATAGGTTTTAAGCTCTAAATATCTAGTCCCACTAGAGGTTGCCAGTGAGTTTTTTAAATGGAGCTATAAATTCTTTCAAGAAACACCTCACTCAGGCTTACCTTGAAGAGTTTCCCTCCCATCCAAGTACTAACCAGGCCCGACCCTGCTTAGCTTCTGAGATCAGAGAGTTTCCCTCTCCTCCTGGTTTAATCTAGCGCACGAGTCTTACTCCCACAGGGTCATAGATGAGGGCTGAGCAGAGCAGTTTGTAACCTGTAGTCCACAGCAGCCTTTCAACAAACAGGTGAGAACAGCCCTGGAGCTCCTGGCTCGGGGGCCCCAGACCCCTGCGCTCCTGCCTTGTCTGAGGCACAGGCGCAAGCTATTCTCTGCAACAGAGTCTGCCGCCGAACCACTCCTCCTAAATGGGCTTAGGAAACTGGTCTTTGTGGCTTCCAGTTTGTGCAAGTGGGCATGATAGCATCCTGAAGAAATTTCCTGGGTTAGAAACCAAAAAGGAAGTTGTGCTCTCCAGCTCCGATAGAATAGGAAGGATGATTATTCATTTGTAACAATTTAAAGCCAGTATAGAACCTTCGATAAAGAACACTCAGTCTAGGGCGCCTGGGTGGCTCAGTTGGTTAAGTGACTGCCTTCGGCTTAGGTCATGATCCCGGAGTCCTGGAATGGAGTCCCACTTCGGGCTCCCAGCTCAGCGGGGAGCCTGCTTCTCCCTCTGACCCTCTCCCCTCTCAAGCTGTTTCTCTCTCTCTCTCTCTCGAATAAATAACTAAATAACTAAATAACTAAATAAAATCTTAAAAAAAAAAAAA